ATAAGAGATTTTCCTAGACATTTCAACCTATTGAAGTTATTTTCGACTTCATTTATTTGAAAATTCCCCCTAATTTTTTTTCGAAACAACTGGTCGAGGTCTATATCCTAGAATTTTTAGTGGATTTTTGGACAACTTAGCCAAAAGCTCAATTTTTCAATACCTACTCCAATTATGAAACTTTCAACCAGTTTCGACCACCTTTGAAAACGATCTAAGAGAATTTTTTTGAACAGTTATCCCCATCAAATTTATATTTTATATTTTCCGCATCATTTTTTTTAAGAAATTGGATTTTTATAGCGAATATTTAGAAAGATCATCAACATGCTGTGTTATTCGAATCAGGTCGTTGAGATTTACATTCCAGATTTTTTTGTTTATTTTTCGGCGATGTTTCTAAAAACTCGTTTTTTCAATACCCTACCGTATGAATTTTTCTGAGCAATTTTGAAAACAACTAAAAGGAATTCTGTTGTTCGTTTCGATTTGCTGAAGTGTTTTCGTATACATTTTTTCGAAAATTCCTACCAGTTTTTGAGAATCGCCAAAATAAAATATGGCAAATTTTTGGATACAATTTAAAACGTAATATTCGAAAAATCTTGTTTCAAGACCATCAATACGCTGTGTTTTGATTCAGCTTGTCGAGATCTGTATTCCAGAATTATTTCTAGATTTTGAAGCAACTTCGTAAAAACTCAATTTTTCCGTACTCTCCCATATGAAATTTTTCATTTTTCTGATCAATTTCAAAAATTACCAAAAGAAATTGTTTGTTGGTTTCGGTTTACAGAAGTTGTTTTCGAATTCATTTTTTCAAAAATTTAGAACAAGTTTTTGCTTAAATTGCGGATATTCCGAAAATATTGGTTCGGGAATATTAAGTATTTCTCGTTTTAGCTCATCGAGATCTATAAACCAGTATTTTTTCGTGATTTTTAGGCAACTTAGTGAAAAGTTCAATTTTTCAATGTCTTCCATATGAAATTTTTTACTTTTTCCGAGCAACTTCGAAAATTACCAACAAAAATGATTTCGTTGATTTTGACTTCCACCTTCATTTATTCGAAAATTCCGAGCTTTTTCCTGAATCACCAAAATGAAAAATAGAGTAATTTTTGAAATATTTAAAAATTTAATTTCAAAACCAAATATTTCGAAAATCTTGTTCTAAGACTATGAATACGCTGTGTTTTGATGCAGTTTGTCGAGATCCGTATTCTAAAATAGATTATAAATTTTTGGGCAATTTCGTCAAAAACTCAATTTTTCAACATTCTCCCATATGAAATTTCCAATTTTCCCGAGCAAAATCGAAAATTAACAGAAGGAATTCTTTTGTTGGTTTCAATTTGCTGAAGTTGTTTTCAGCTTCATTTTTTCGAAAATCCCTACCATCTCCAAATTGAAATATGGCAATTTTTTCGACATACTACGTATTACAATTTCGACTTTGAAACCGAATATTTCGAAAATCTGTAATTCAGAATTTTTTCGGGATTTTTAGGCAACTTTGCAAATAGTTCAATTTTTCAATACTCTCGTATGAAGTTTTTGACTTTTTTCAATCAACTTCGAAAATTACCAAAAGAAATTATTTTGTTGATCTTGACTCCCAAAAATGTTTTCACCTTCATTTACATGTTCCAAAATTCCGACCATTTTTCTAAATCACCAAAATAAAATAGTTTTATTTTTTTAATTTAACTTTGAAACCAAATATTTCGAGGATTTTTAGACACCTTCGTCAAAAGCTCAAATTTTTAATATTTCCATACTCTTCAATATGAAACTTTTTATTTTCTCGAACAACTTCGAAAATTACCAAAAGGAATTCATTTATTTGTTGGCTTCGTTTCCAGACGTCGTTTTCGGCTTCTATTTTTCAAAAATTCTTACATACAATTATCCAAGAATCGCTAAGATGAATAAGGCAATTTTTTGATAGGTATACAAACAATTCGAATATGAAACCAAATATTACAAAAGCTCAATTATTCAGAACTCTCCAATATGAAATTTTTAAATTTCCCGAGCAACTTCGAAAATTACCTAAAGAAAATAGTAGGAACTTTCGAGCAAATGAAGCTGATAAACAGGTCGTAGTCAATAACAAATATATTGACATATATTAAAAATTTGTTTGTTTTTGTTTTTTAAATTCTTCTTTCTTAATTTTTAATTCCTGGGCGTAAGCTATGGAAGTATTGTAATCGAGTCCATTGTTTTTATGTTTTTTCGATCTTTCGTGATCCCTAGCGTACGAAATATGTCTACCGTTTCTGTCTGCTTGTCTGTCCGTCTGTCCGTCTGTCCGTCTGTCTACCGTCCCGGATTTTTAGTAGGCAAATAATCTCCGAAAGTACAGGGATGATTGTTGTAAAATTTTGTATTTATATTGTGTAGATGAATATCATGTAGATGGTAAAACGCTAACCAAAATTTTTCTAGTTATCCCCACCAATAATTGATGACGTCATTTCAAAATTGTACATAGTAAATGGATTTTAAATTGTATAAAATTACATAGTCCTACACGTGTAGTTTACGACTTTGAATTTAGTTTTTACCCGAAACGTCCAGATTTTTGAAAAAAAATTCCAGATGTACTTTAAAAATTACCAAAGAGGATTCTTTTATTGGTTTAAATTTTCAGCTTCATTTTTTCGAAAATTCCTACCATATTCTCAACATCGCCAAATAAAAAGGGCACTTTTTTGCATACTACATTAAAAATTCGACTTCGAAACTGAATATTTCGAAAATCGTGGGTCGAGACCAACCATACACTGATTCTAGATTTATTTCATCCACATGAGATCAAATTTTTTTCGGGAAATTCAAACTATTTCTCGAAAAGTTCAATTTTTGGATAGCTTTCGTATGAATTTTTTTAGTTTTTCCAAAAAACTTCGAAAATTACCAAAAGTGAGTATTTTGGTTCTTTTTTTTTTCTAAAATTCCTACCATTTTCCAGAATCGCAAAAACAAAATTTGTCAATTTTTTGGATATGTTAAAAAATCGACTTTAATACAAAATATTTCAAATATCTTGGTTCGGGATCTTTCAACACGTTATTTTTCGATTTAGCTCGTTCAGATCTCTAATCCAGAATTTGTTCGAGATTTTTAGGCAACTAGGCCAAAAGTTCAATTTTTCAATACCTTCCGAATGATATTTTTGTCTTTTTTCGAGCAACTTAGCAAATTACCCAAAGACATTATTTTGCTGATTTTGACTCCTAGAAGTGTTTTCACCTTTATTTATTTGAAAATTCCGATCATATTTCTGAAGAACCAAAATGAAATAAGTAAATTTTTCAGATATTTTAAAAATTTAACTTTAAAACCGAATATTACGCTGTGTTTTGATTTAGCTTGTCTAGATCTGCATTCGAGAATTGTTTCTGGATTTTTTGACAATTTTGTCAAAAGCTTTCTCCCATATGAAATTTTGGATTTTCCTGAATAACTTCGAAAATTATTACCAAACGGGAATCTTTTGTTGGTTTCGATTTGCAGAAGTAGTTTTTGGCTTCTTCTTTCCTAAAATTCTCATCATTTTTCCAAAATCGTCAAAATGAAGATAGCAATTTTTTGATACATTAAAAATTTGAGTTAAAACCGAATCTTTCGAAAATTTTGGTTCGGAACCATCAAGATGCTGTTTTTGGATTCATCTCATCGAGATCTATAAATTTCTGAGCCATAATCCAATTTTTTTGGGGGGGAATTTTCAGGCAACTTCAAAAATGAGAATTTTTACTTTTTCCGAGCAACTTCAAAATACTAAGAAAGATTAGTCAATTACTGTGTAGATTTTGACTCCCAGAAGTGTTTTCACCTTCATTTATTCAAATATTCCGACTATTTTCCTAAATCGCCATTTTTTTTATTATCCTAAAAATTTAACTTTAACACCGAATATCAGGAAAATCTTATTCCGAGACCATAAATCCGTTATTTTTAATTCACCTCATCGAGATTTATAATATTCCAAAATTATTTGTGGATTTTTAACCAGCTTCGTCAAAAACTCAATTTTTCAGTACTCTCCAATGTGAAATTTTTAATTTTCCCGAGCAAATTAAAAAATTTACCTATAGAAAATGGTATAGGAACTTTCAAACAATTAAAGCAGATAAACAGGTCGCAGTTAACTCAATAAAAATATTGACATATTTTCAAAATTTGAATTTGAACACGTATATTTCGAGAATCTGGATTATGTATATATTTTCCATGATAAACGTATCTATCTTTCTTGGGGAAACACGATTTGTTTAATTATTTTTGGCCACCCATTGTGTCCCTAATAATAAAACATTTTGTTAACAATTTAGTCTCTCAGGGTTATCGGTGCATTTTTTTAGTACTTTCACTTGAACTTTTACTGATTTTATTAATTACTAAATCGGACAAGCATTATTTTCAGATTAATAATAATTAATTAACAAGTGTTTTAAGTTATTTTGTATTGAAATTAACGTTAGCAGGTGTTTCACTCTACTCGAAAATTAATTTATAATACAAAAAACCTTCCAAATAATTATCTTCTGCAACGTGTCTTTTTAAAATACATTTCTTATATAGCAGCATTTTTGTAGCGAGTGGACGTTATTATATGCAACTAGTATTTCAGGTTTGGGGCTTTATTATAGGCAACCAACCGTTAGGAAACCAGTTTCCATAAATTTTCGAAAAACAACGTCAAAAACTCAAATTTAATTGCTGAGTAAAATTGATAACGTATGATTTTTAAATTTGGTATGACAATAAGGGAAATATCTAGAAACAAATGATGTGAAAGACGTAAGGCGTTGTTTAATTTTCATTAAAATTTTCTGTAAAAGCAATTATCTTTGAAATCTTACTTTGATAGAAAATTGAAATAACAAAAATAAACTCTAATCGTCTTCAGTCTTCCAAATGCAAATAATTCAGTTTTACCATCAAAGGACTTACGAATTTCGTATAAAAGGAAGAAAATCTTTCGATTAAAATTGGGCACAATTTTATTAATTTTATTTAGTTTTCACACAAACAACGTCACACAAAATACATCAAAATAAAAGCGCTTATCAAAAATAATCAACATCTTACACCAAGAGATGATTTTTGCTTAAAACTGGAAACTGCTCTGCATAATATATTACAATAAATGAGTTACATAAGCAATACGTATAAACAACCTTAAATATAAAGTTTACAAAAATGAGTAAATTCTATCTTATTAAATGATTTCGTAAGACTTCGGTCAGGTTGCAGTTTACATACATATACTTAACACATTCTTTGCGCAAATATTGCACTCACTATGCGTTTCCTGTCACTATCACTTAATTATTTGTATTTTTCACATTTCACTCTTACCGTTACCATATGCATCGAAATCAGACTACAGGAAATAACAACTCTACTCTGAAACACATAAAAAATTAGGGAGGAGAAAGTCAAAATAATTTGATAATAATCTCTGTATTTAAATTATCTACAAAAAAATCTTACAAGCTTAAATTTCATCCGCTAAAAGCTGTATTAAGAATATCGAATTACCAACATCTTTCTCAGCCAATTTACTGGTGATACTCTTTTAACAAATATTTTTTATTTGAGTAACGACCGGAACATACCTAAAAATAAAGAATGTACACAATATTTAACAAAAACTAAACAACGATAATAAATACCTTGTTGTTTCTATTTCAGTTGTATTTTTTTTTCCTACTAGCCCAAAGCAACACACAAAAATATTCTGTAATTTTATTAGTTGCTGGCGAGAGCAAAATCCAACAAGTGAATGTTCATGGCTCCGCCCACAGCCCAACTGTTACCATTTAATCCCAATCTATTTACACATTTAAAATGTATTGTAACTACCTATCACCGTCCACATGAATAAATAATTTTAGAAAACGGAAGCTTTGATCATCTGGTAAAACTCTTACGTAAAGCCCACTCATTACAACGCCTCCCTCATTACTAATTCCCTTTATGCATCCACCGTAGAATAACTATTGATTTATTATTTAAAAAATACTCCTATCTTTATTTGTATGTGAAATATGAAACACACTCCAATCGATCGTTGAATTTTTCGCTTTATTAAACAAATGGAATGTATAACGAACCCCGCACAAAAAACAACACCATAAATTATTTAATGAAAGCGAGAAAAAAGCACGAATCTCTTGAAACAAAGCACGTATTTTTTAACCCTTAAACAATAACCCACATTAATAAATCTGTCACGCTATGAAGTATTGATTGCGGAGCTTTACACAAGTCCGCTGCCTCATTTCGCTTCACCCTTGTCCGTGTTTCTTTCTGGGATAGTCGGCGAGTTCGCCGACTCTGGTCATTTATCAACAGTTCGACAAAAACACATGTTGATAACACTTTGCACGAGTTTACGCAGCAGGATTCCAACTGCTACCAGTCCTTGTAAGGAAGTGGACAGAACCGGATCAAAGGCAGCCGCTATGTATATTCGATGAAAGCTAAATCGTCCCTCGATAATAAAGTTTAGATTTTCTATTCGCTTGGGGATTTAGTTTGCTGAAAAATTTAGCGGAATTCTAATTAATTATGCTTGCGTTAATCCTGGCGGAAATTGTCGATACTTCTTCGATCTCTTAAACGTTTTGAAGTATGTTTTATGATTATTTTTCTAACCATAATTTATTATTTATTAAATGCAACAATTATAGCAAACCCCAAGAAATATAGTTGAAGGTGAAGCTTTTGTCAAAGCTTATGTACTTATTTTTTCTCTGTTTTCTACATACAAAGGTCTACACCGACTTTTTTTATATGCAAACGATTGAACAAGACAAGAGTAACTTTTAAATTTATGTGGAATAATATAAGTTGTCCTTAGCAACTTTTATCTCAGGTTTACAATTTATCAACGTATGAAAAAGAAATCTCAAGAGTGACAAAAAGTAGGTCTCCATTTCCGTCTGTCTGGGGTATGTGTCGATTTTTATTAGATAATCTCAGAAAGTACTAAAGTCCATTTCTGTCTGTCCACGCCTCATTGTAAATTTTGGAAAATTGTTGGGTGTAAGGTTTTTTTGCGGACTTGAGTAAAGTTAAAACGTTGTCAGAGTGTTTTAAATATCAAACCGGATCAATGGTATAAAATGTTTCTAATTTGACTTCTTGAAATGAACAAAAAACCCAATAGGGCACTGTAACCAACCCTATTTTTTATCAAGTGGACAGCTAGAAATGGCCTGGACTTTAGACTGATTGCTGTCAAATTTTGAATATCGTGTAAATCATAAAATGCTAACTAAAATTTGCCTAATGATTCCCACCAACAATTTGATGATACGACCTCAAAATTATGCATGGTAAAAGTTATTTAGATTTTATAAAATAACATACTCCTGTAATTGTGGTTTATAAATTCGCCTTGATTCACGAGTTTTTCGTTTCTTTGCTTTTCTCTCTAGATACATATTTAACCAAAAATGTATTAGTCAACTGACTTCCGAGACTGTCAAATTAGCTGCTCTGAATATTATAGTTAAGAAGGTGTTAAAACACTAACAAATTTGATAAATTATCCGTTATTTTGGAGTTAATATTTAGACTACATTTTTTTTTTCAAAAAAAACAAAAAATAAATTTTAAATATTTTTTCATTTGACTATTAATGAAATAATAAAATAGACTAAGGGCCGGTTTATAGAACAGCGAGTTAAATATTTAATCCTCGATTAGTTTAACACAGAATTAAAATGTGGAATATGAGCCCGTGATTGGCTAAAATATGTGCGTTGCCTGGCAACCGACCTCAGTTAAAAGTTAATCGCGAATTAACTTTAACATCGCTTTCTATAAATCGGGTCTAAAAGGTAAAATTAACCCCACCCAATTGCGTCTGCATTTCATTGGCTTATTTTATTTACTGGGAGATGAAAATTGAATTCTATTTTGACAAGTGCTCAAATCTAATTAGAAAAACACTGTGGGCCCCGCCCACCCGCCCGATTTTCTTTTTTGTCACTCATTTTATTGGACGAAAAGTGCATTTTATTTTCAATATCAAGGAATCTAGACAAAAAGCTAAAATTAACCCCACCCACCTTCGCTTTTAGAATTCATTGGCTCATTTTATTTACTCTGAGCTGAAAATTGAATTTGATTTTGTCAAGTAATCGAATCTACGCTTACAAAAATTCAAACTGGCCCCGCCCACCCACCCGACTTTCTTTCTGATCACTCATTTTGTTGGACAAAAAGTGGAATTTAAATTGATAAACAGTGGAATCTGGACAAAAAGGTAAAAGTAACCCCACACATTTCCGCTTTTGAATTTCATTGGCTTTTTTGATTAGATGAAGGATGAATTTTATTTTGTCAAGTAGTCAAATCTTCGCTTAAGAAAAATCAAAGTGGCCCCGCCCACCCACCCGGTTTTCAATCTTATGTGTGATTTTATTGGACAAAAAGGGGGTTTTATATTGATAAACAGTAGAATCCGGACAAAAAGGTAAAACTAACCCCATCCATTTCCGCGTTTGATTTTCATTGGCTTTTTTAATTAAATGAAGGGTGAATTTTATTTTGTCAAGTAGTCGAATCTTCACATAAAAAAATTCGAATTTGACCCGCCCACCCACCCGGTTTTCTTTCTAAGCATTCATTTTATTTAACAAGAACTCACTCAATTTTATTGGCTGACACAAAAAGTGGATTTTTTTATTGACAAATAATAGTAGAATAGAATAAAAGGTAAAGTTAACCCCACCCAATTGCGTCTACATTTCATTGGCTTATTCTATTTATTGTGTATTTTCAATTGATAACTAGTGGAATCTAGATAAAAACTCCACCCAGCTCCGTTTTTGAATTTAATTGGCTTATTTTATTTTCTCTGAGATGAAAATTTTATTTTAGTTCCTCAAGTGGTCCAATCAAAAAATGTTTAACGAAATCACAAAATATATAACATGTGCTAGTTAATTCAACAAAATTTAAGCCATCAAAATTTACATGTTACATTACGAAAAAATAGTACAAAATTTGGTTTCATTGATTAATTTCAGAATTTATTTTCATGTTGAGTATAGTTTAATAATTTGTTTTTATTAAAAGACTAAATATTGTTTCATTTCCTCAGCTTTATCAAACATTTAAAATAAAATTGGCAGAATATTAAGTAGTTTGTAATAATAATTATTATTATCACTCAATTTTACTTCACGATCGTAAGCTAAGGAAATATTGTAATAGAGTGGCTACTTTCATGTTTTCTCGACATTTTATAACACCTAGAGTACAAAAAATAGGTCTCCCGTTCCCGTCTGTCCGTCGTCTATGTTGATTTTCATTGAACATACTTAACTTCTGTTTTACCCCGATCTAGGAATATCTTATGGATGATAAAACGCTAACCAAAATTTGCCTAATTATCCCCACTATCTAATAATGTGATCTCAAAATTTTGCATAGTAAATACTATTCAAATTTTATAAACTAACATACTGCTGTACTTGTGGCTTTGTGAATAAGTATTTTACGTAATACGTGTGGATAAATTCAAGTTTCCAATCATTTATACTTATACTTAGTAATGTTACGTTGGACGGGTATTTAAAATCGGCGTGGATAAAACTCAACAATTTATTTCTTAGTAACTCGAATTTTCACGACTAACTGTACAGAGATTATGTACAGAATAATTCCCAGTCGACTGGAATGAATTTGACTAGACTCTACTTCTCCCATTGTCTGGACTTCACTGACTTCTACCGACGGTCGTACCGTCACCGCTTCTATTCTTGTTCTGGAGCACACATCGCGACTTCCGCTTCCAGGCTCTTCTTTAACGCCGTTCGGTCGCCGTCACCGACGATGAGTCATTGGCGTCGTACCGGGGCGGCGTATGGGCATATTTCGTCACAGTAATTATAATTATAAATTAGACAAATGCCACTACATAGAAGCGTTCAGAATCAAATTAAACGCTATGGAATTGAAACTTAAAAGATTATAAATTTATATAACAATCAAGAGTTCAACAAGTTACGTTAGCCCAATACAAAATTAAGAAAATCTTGAGAACTAATCAAAACGTTAAATTTTGATTGGTTGCACACAAATCCATAAGTTTCTGCTGTGAATGTTCATTAAATTAAATTTTTTAATTTTTTTGGAAACAGGGCAGGATACCCTTCCAGAGTGAGTTCGAATCCCATTCTCATCGATTTTTTTTTTAGGACAATGAATTTGCTTGAATGTTCAACTTCAGATGCTGTCTAAATAATTTTAGACCGAAGTACCTAATTTAAGAAAAATTAGTATAATTATTGTTAATACAGAGTATTAATAAATGATTTGTACGTCTAGACCACAACCTGACAAAAAATTTGCTGCTTCCGAAAAATACAGAAGTTGAATATTGCCATTTTCAATCATCATTATTTACTAACACACTGTATAACTTTTTGAATTTACTAGATACGCCTTTAACCATAAATTGGTTTGGGCTAACCTCAACAAAATATAGTTATTAAAATAGTTTTCCTAATGATGACGAGTAAAAAAAAATGGTCGAAGGTTATTTCGACCGACCTTTCCTCGTCTCTGAAATACAATAATACAAATCCAGTTTTTTCGAAAAATGATAAAATTTAATTAAGCGAATTTAATTTTTTATGAGAACCTTTATAAGTTAAAATAAAGATATGTATGTAACGTTAAAATCCATGTAAAGAAGCATGCTTGGCGTACGTTCCAAATGAGTTTTCCCTTAACAAAATTTTGTGATGACGTCATCCACATTTTTGCAAAAACACGTATATCACTTTGGATAGGTGCAAATTTAATCAATAAATTTTTATGAGTCACCCTGTCTAAGAAATTTTAAAAATTTTAATACAGTGACAACTACAAGTATAGACTCATAATTTTTTCAGATTTTGGATAGGATTTATTCGACAAAATTTTGAGCTGTTGTCATCAATTTTTTGGGAGGTGATAAACGAATAAATTTTGTTTAACGATTTGTCATGATTACGATAACCTTAAAATATTTACATATGATTTCAGGGCAATCGGTTTTGCAGTTTCAAAGTTATAATGCAAAATATTGTTATTCAGTTTTAAATTTTTTCAAAAAATTCTGGAGGTCTAGGGAGAAAATTCGACACGGATTCACACACCACAAGTGCAGAAGTATCCTATTTAAAAAAATAAATAAAAACAACTTTGTATTATAAATTTTAGAAATGACGTCATCCCATTCGTGGTGGGGATAATTAACCAAATTTTAATTGGTATTTAACCATCTACATGATATTCCTAATATGCATACAAAATATGGCAACAGTCGGTCCAGTAGTCTCGGAGATTACTTGTCTAATAAAAATGGATAGATACAGACAGACAGACAGACAGACAGACAGACAGACAGACAGACAGACAGAGAGAGACAGACAGACAGACAGATAGACAGACAGACAGACAGATAGACAGACAGACAGACAGATAGACAGACAGACAGACAGATAGACAGTCTCTACCATTTTTTAACACTCATTTTAAGTCTTTATGTACTTCCGAATTTCGAACTATTTTTTTTTTTCTATAATTTCTCAAATAAATCTCTCAAGGTGCGGATTCAGGTTTTGAACACTTCACACTTTTATTTAATAGTTTGTTCCTTGCGTCCATATCATTGTTTTATAAACTTTTTTTCTGATCTTGAATTTACTTTCATCGTTTCGACCTCTAATCTGTGCACTTAGTTGCAGTTTTAAGACATTCTGTTTTCAGATTTATTGTTGTTTTTGCTTTCACTATTTAATCATTAGTCAAAATTTCTTAATCACGAATTGTCTGTTGTTTTTTTTTAGATTAACTGCAATCATGCACAAGTGAGTAAAAAAAATGAATGTTCAAACGTTCTTGACGCTAATTAAAGATTATTATAACAGCTCCCTAGTTTTCTCTTTAGGTGACGTATATCTTGGCAGTTAAAATATATCGTTTGTGTCCTCCAATAAGTAAAACCGTTAAGCGAAGTCTGTAAAAAAAACCTAATAGTCACGATGTGTCAAAAATTATTACACTGAAGCTTCATAAGCAGATTGTAAGTATTGTAAATAAGATTCAAGGCAAATAGTATATACAGGTATTTATCACTTATGACATAATGAATTTATTGTAACAGTTTGTGGTAAGTAGATGTGTAAGAACGGTACTTTGACAGCGCTCTGAAGTGAATTAATGATCTTGTGCGCACGAAAAACCAATTACTTAGTTAACTAGTACTCGTTGTTTTGCTAGTTCGGATCTAAATTTATCGTCTTCATAATGAATAAGCACTTAACAACAAAAAAATCTGCCAACAAATCATAAACAAATTAATTGAAGCTTATATAAAAAACAGGGAATAATTACGTATCATAGACAATTAAAAACTTTATTTACATACAACACAAATTCGAGACTGGTGCTACTATCACAATTCTAGCAATATATAACAAGAATAAAATTACCTAACAAAATAATAATAAATAATGCACTTATTCAGTACAAATAACTCTTTGTTCCCGTGAAGTATCTGAAAATTTTAAACATAAAATCACCAGTTAGACTCAACGGGTACGTCGGGTCCATAAACTTATTAATATTATTCGTTAGCAACCTCAGATTCCCTTTATCATCAAAGGCAAACCCACCGGTCCACACCATATTCTTGTCTTCCGTCACAATCTTCGAAGTAGCAAAATCGGAGTTAATATTCCAAGTACCGACCCCATAGAGTGGTGGAAGAGTATAAAACAAGTTTCCTTTATGATCCATGATCAACCCATCACTTTGACTCTGCTTTTTCCCGACAACCTTAATAGCCCTCCTCCAGTCACCACTGTTAATCAATTTCTCGTTCTTCAGAACTTTCGTCTTTATGGAATACAAATTCATCCCAGCTAGAGGCGAGTAAAACAACAATTTGTTCCTACTTTGTGAAGGTGACAATGCGATCCCATCCAGAGGTGCCAATCTTCTAAAAGTCAAATTCCCAACGGTAAAAGCAGAAGAGTCTTCTTCGTCAAACATGGTCCGATCTCTGAGCTTCCAAGCACGATTTTGCTTACGTGAATAGACGATTAATCCCGGATCTAACACACTATTATCAGTAATATAAGCAAAACCGTCGTTGGAATCATCAACTACGATGTCCTTAAGGTGCCCTCCATGAACCGAGCAAATATCTTTGGGAAAAATGTAAGAAAGGATCTCTTTACCGTGGTTGTTTAAATCGAGGAGTACTAATTTCGGTGGGCATCTGGTGTTGTTGTTAATTCTAAAGCCATCCAATACCCACATAATACCAGTTTTGTCGATTTCCATACTTTGGACGCTTTGGAAACTCGTGCAATCTTTAGTATGAAGTTGGTAGTCCCAGCTGGGGTAGGGTTCAACCAATGGGTTAATCTTAGGGCTTGATAGCCCAAATTTACCAAGGGTTACTGGCACTCCTTTCCTGATTTGTGGTAACGCCACGTAGATGTTGTCTTTGTAGTACTTGATTCCTGTGATGGCTACATTTTCCGGAATGTAGTGCTTTCTGGTTACAGCTCTCCTGTAATCAGCGTACGACGGCCACGTGAAGTTGACGTACTGCCACTGGTACTCAATATTGAAAACTTTACTGCTTTTGGTACTCGCTGCCACTGCTTCATTGTCACCCTTTTCGACCAAACAGTAACTCACGAACAAATAACCCAAGTAGGTACACAGAGGGTTCATCACGGTTCAATGAAAGCGAAAGCACTGGATCCAGTACTATCCATATTGACATACATTTATAACGTTTGGGTTTAAATCTGGGAGGAAGTATAGGTGGGGTAATTACGAAAAATTACAACCTACATCCGCTGGAGATGGTTCAGATCAACGATCTGAAAACATGAAAAAAAATCGCCTGGAGTTACGAAACGCGAAGCGTGTTGTGGAAAAATTACCTTTTCATGGGCATGGTGTCTGGGATGATTCAAATGCCGATTATAGTGAAAGTTAACTGAAAGTAATCAAAGCATAATTAAGCCAGACGTCACATATCGAGCGAAAGAGAAAATTCTCGAGATGGAAATGTAGCGTGTGTGAATATTAGCTCACTTCTCATAATGGGCGGTTGGCGGTAATTATTTAACGTTTACGTGACCATTACGCAATAATAACAATAGAAAAGTTCCAATTAAAATCCGCTGAATATTAATAGAATTCTCACGCTGCTTTCTTTGCGTTTTCGTATACAGGAAGTGCAGTGTAGGAGTCGGCGGAAGGGTGGTTTTTGTCTGCAATAGTCGTTGTTAGTGGGTAAAATCAATAACGCTTTTCAGTTTGCTCATCGTTGCAAATACATTAACATACGTTGCACTTGATGGAGTGCGATTTATCTACAATATTGATCGACTCGCTGGGTAATTTTTAGTTTTCTTAAAAAAAAATCTTGTAGCGATGTCGGTCGTTAGTAGATGAAATAAGAAAGCTTTTCAGACCGTTCACGTTGCAAATCCATTAACATACAAGTTACACTTCATCAAGTGCTATTTATCTAAAATAGTGATCGATTCGCTGGTTAATTTTTGCGGTAGAAATAATCAATTATATATTTTTTTCAGTGTGAGGAATTTTAATTTCTTGTGAAACATCGTTTTCATTATACTTTCTTTCTACGTATCAAAACATAGATCTGATCAGTGTTTATGTAAAAGTTTAATGATTTTAACGTCGAAGTTATAAATAGAAAAACTCTTTCACTATAGACAATTTCACGATTATATTTAGATTATTTAAATACAGATAAAAGTTACACAAAATACACTGCCAGACAAAAAAACTCGGACACTTGAATTTTTAATGATTACCTGAAACTGGTCGAACTTTTGTAAAAAATGTTCCAAAAAGCAAATCATTAATGTATGCATTAATAGAAACCATAACTTTATTCTAGAACATGTGGAAACAGAAAAAAAGTAAAAAAAACAACACTCGACATTGGCGTAAATTTACAAATCTTCGGATGTGCGGGTTTTTTTGTCGGGCAGTGTTTTATTAATAGGTCCTTACATTGTTTTCTTGTTTTAATCCACAACTTATTTTGTTTGACGTTTGTTAGACACTTATAAAAAAATCCTAATACAAATACATATATTTATTAAAACAAATCATTGTGACCCTTTATAAGTAAATTGAGGGAGAGCTTTACCCTTATTATTGAAGATCTGTTTCTTGAATTTAAAAAATTGTAGTAGTTACGGGATCTAAAAATTTTAGAACTGTGTTTACTGTCACCAAACCCTTTTTATCCCTGGATATAAATTATTTTTTCCCCAAAAGTTTGCACATCTTAGTTGTTATAAAATATTATTGCTTAAGAAACAATAAAAACACGATTAAAGACAGCTATGAGTTGTTTAAAGTTTAAATATTATTGCTTAAGAAACAATAAAAACACAGTTGTTTAAAGTTTATCTTGAATCGATGCATTTTCAATTGAAACTTTCAAATGTACTGTAATCTAACAAAACGAAGATTCTATCAAAGACAGATCTTCAAAACTCCATGTCCATGTTGCTGCTTTTGTTTTGTTGACATCGTCCATATCACGGGAATTTGATATTCACGCTTCTCTGCACAATCTGAGATTGCCTTATCTACTTATCGCTTGAAACCGAGACTGGACTTCTTAAAAAAAAAAAAAATACGAGGTGTCTATAGTGATAAAAATAATTCAATATTCGATTTGTCGTCATTAATTAATTAATATTATATTAATATGTAACTGCTATTTTGTTATTATCTAATAGAAGCATTCACCGCCTTTTAAAGATAGGAGAAATGTTCAACCTCTTAATTTTTTGCATTTATTTCCAACTATTGACTCATTTAAGAAAAGCAGACAAAAATTACTAAACAAATTTCGAATAAAAAATAACATGCACTGATTGTGATTTAGAAGCGAAGGAAATTGCGTCTAAATGGTTTCAAACAAGTTTAAAAAAAATTACTGAAGCGGCAATTTTGAATAGTAAATTTTTTAAAATTATTAACCGATTGGCGCTAGTTTTGTGGAAAATCTTTAAAAACTAGAAAACCAAATTTCACAATTATATATTATATGACTTCCTTAATATGTAAAAAATTGGTCTAAAGAGTTTAGACAGTACTTCCATCGCTGTAGGGAACGTGACAACTGCAAGCCTAGTATGTCTTTTTTGTATTACATTTTTGTAATTCTTGATTTAATCTATAAAATTAATTGACTCAGTCATTAATTTTTTTTTCAAACACCCTGTATAAGCAAATGTAAAAAATATTAATGCAGTGATAAATCACAAGTCTAGACTCATCATTCTTTACACATTTAAGCATTTTTTCAGCAAAATTTTGCGGTGGCGTCATCAAATTTTTAGGGGGGATGAGCAAATACATTTCGATCAAAATGTTACCATGCTTATGATAAATTTAAAACATTGAAAGCATTCGGTTTTGTAGTTCCTGATTAAATCAATAAAATAAATTCACATTTTCATTAATTTTTTTGAGTGACCCTGTATATGCAAATCCAAAAAATATGAATGGAATGATAAATCACAGGTACAGACTCATCATACATATTTTGTACATTTTAGATAGGATTTATTCGACAAACCTTTAAACTGACATCATCAATTTTTTAGGGGGGATTAGCAAATACATTTTGACTAAAAATTTACCCTGCCTATGATAACTTTAAAACATGTCCAAGATTTCAAAGCATTCGGTTTTGTAGTTCCTGATTTAATCAATAAAATAAATTCACGCATTCATTAATTTTTTTTAGTCACCCTGTATATGCAAATCCAAAAAATATGAATGGAATGATAAATCACAAGTACAGACTCATCATATTTTGTACATTTTAGATAGGATTTATTCGGCAAACTTTTTAGCTGACGTCATCAATTTTTTGGAGGGAATAAGTAAATATATTTTGATTAAAAATTTGTCGTGCTTGTCATAACTGTAAACCATTTGCAAGCTTTGAAAGCATTCGGTTTTGCAGATTTAAAATTAAATTGCATGATATTGTTTCATGATTTTGATTTTTTTTCCAAAAATCTGGACGTTTCGGGTAAAAACTCAATTCGGAGTTATAAACTACATGACGTCATTGCATTAGTGGTGGGGATGATTAGACTAATTTTGGTGAGCGTTTTACCATCTACATGACATTCCTAATACAGATACAAAATTTCGCAAAATTATCTGTCTAATAAAAATCCAGGACGGCAGACAGACGGACAGACGGACAGACGGACAGACGGATAGACAGACGGAAACGAGAGACCCATTAACTACACAGAGTGTTCTGCTTTTAAGGCATAACACAACTTACTATTTTTAAACGAACCAGTCAATTCTTAAACTTTACAACCCCGGTTTATTTTTGAAATTACAATGCGACGTTGCCAGGTTATTAAAATTTTCTTGAATTTTTTTAGCAATGGAAAGGTCCAAAATTTTTAAAATAACAGTAAAGTTATTTTTAAAATCTGCGTTGCAATATTTTTTTAGAGAGATAAATAAAGATACACGTTTTGTTGTGGTATAAATAAAATAAAATTTTCATATACAGACTGATTAAAAAAAGATATTACAATTTTCCAATATCGACATTTCAGTTTTTGCAAATAGAACACCCTGTATTTTATTACTGCATATCATTCTAATTTTTGTTTTCTTTCTTTTTGTTAAGTTGTTAAGCATTTTCTATATTTCACGTTGATAGTTGTTACTGCGCTTTTTTACTTTTTTAAACGACGCACCGATATATTGGAAGAATAAGAACAAAAAATAGAGTAAAATATAGTAATAAAAGACAGCGTGTTCTATCTAAAAAAAACTGAAATATGGATATTTAAAAATTGTAAAATTTTAGAATTTTTTATAAAATAACCATTTTGCGATTTTTTTGTGAACCCTTCCATTGTCAAGAAATTTCTAAAAAATGAGAATAACGTGACAACGTCGCTTTGGAATTTCAAAAATAAACTGTGGATATAAAGCCTAGCAAGAGGCTGCCAAGATGTAAAAATATGTTTAGGTGTTTCATTTAAAAAAAATAAAATAATAAAATATATTTTACGCTTTAAAAACAGAACACTCTGTATAGTTAAAATAATTTTAAAGCATAGTCCTTAAACAATCGTACAACGTTGGTTTTTGATTTTTTCAATACCTAATAATAATTATTAGCCGTGACTCTGGAATTCTTTTTTCGGAATATTAATTGCACGACGAGAAAATTTTCTGGCTGATAGGACATATTTTTTACAAGTCGCATTTCTCGAAACTTTTAAATATTTTGAGATAATTTTTATTTTCATTTAAGTAGAGCTCGTTGTAACAGGTTTTTTTTACTTTTGGAAACTATTTTCCCATTGTTTTAGAGTAACTATTTGAGAAGATGGATTCAGATTAATAACCACAGGAAAAATGGTCCTGTTTCCGGTGAGTAGAGGTCCTTTTGACATTTTCTTGGAAAGTATGAATATTTTTGATAAAAATAACATCCGATTTATAATCTATGAAAATATTTTATTTGAATTTCCTTCTAAATGTTTTTGGAATTTTGTTTGTCTTACTTAGAGATGTAATTTCTTAGATTTCGAAATTTCGAATCTAAATAAATTTGTTTTGGAGAATATTTAAAATTATTAATATATTTGTATCGCTATGTCATAGAGGGTGTTTCATCTAATATAATTCCTAAAAGTTTGTCCAAATTTTACATTATAAAATAAATCATGATGGCTTAACATAAGTGAAGACAACATTTTTGTATTTAAAATCGCAATTCATATTTACTGTTCTACCTATTTCTGCAAAGTTTTTTTTTTGTCTCACCGAACTTACAGCAGATTTTGTAATAAAAACTTTGAGTAAATAATATTTAGATGGAATTTCCCTGAAATGCAGTCCAATAAATCCAGCTTCTTCAAAATTATAAAACTTGATTTTGCAAAATTTTATTTATTTTGTAAAAACCCCTATCAGTTAAAAAATATATGTAACACCAGTCACAACGTACGAAAAAAATGGTCCATGAGGGTATCGAACCGACGCTATTAGTTCGTTGTGATTTTCACCTCTGCTCAAGTTGGTTCTTATAAAATGTTATTATATAATTTGGACTTTTTGTGGGAAAAATATCAAGGCGGATTCATAAACCGCAAGTACAGAAGTACGTTATTTTATAAAAGTTTCCTAAGCTAAATTTAGAGGTGACGTCATTAAACTCTTCAAGGATAATTAGACATGTTTCGGTTAACGTTTTACCATCTACACGATATTCATAATATACACAGAAAATTTGACAACAATTACAGGCCTATTTTTTCATCATGGGGATTATAAAACACCGAGAAACATGAAAATAAAAACAAAAATTGTGTTCATTTTTGAAAAAAAATGAATTTTACAAAATTATTGAATTGATTTTATTTCGTGAATTGTTTTTTTGTGTTTTTATTAATGTCTTTACATTCAGCCCCACTTTAGTGTATTCCATAATTACGACACCATCATTCACACACATACATAACGCATCGTTGTCCATAGTAGCATTCGTAATGTTTGTTTACATCACATTTCTTCCGCCTTAAGACAGACTGACCTAATTACCGAATTTGAGTTATTGGTAACCCAAATTTTGAAAAAATGTAGTTCTAGAATCACCTACTTTTATTTAATCGGTGAAATATTTTCATGTAATAGAATTTATTTCATTAACTTTCACACTATAAATACGTCAACACAGTTTCACTGAAAGTGAGAAGGTCTAAGACTTCAGGTAATGTTGTTATGATACCGTTTGTATCAGATTTCATCGTCCCTGAATACCAAATACCTTTAATGTTCTGAGTCAGTTGTTCTCTTCCGAGCCTGCTTTCAAAAAGAATTTAGAGATAATATCGTCAATTTTTTTGAAGGTAATAAACGGATAAATTTTGACCAATGATTTTCGAAGCTTACAAAAGTTAAATTGCAACATGTTAAAAAATTTTGACGTTTTTTGAAAAATGTGAATGTCTAGCTTTTGTAATTTTAAAGAATTTCGAAGTTATCCGTTTTTACTTCTTATGTTATCAGTAAAGAAAGCGTCATGAATTTAAGAACTGTGTGGATCAGCACATGCGTACACATGAACGGCGCGGTACGGTGTCGAGCAGTTAGTTGGCCGATTGTATTACTTAGTCAAATTGTAAGCGCTTGTTTTTAAGGCGCAATAAAACCTATACATAGGCGTCGAGTATCCATTGTATATATCGGCAGTTTCGAGCGACCATTTGTCATGCTTGCAAACCTGCGACCTTGAATGGTGTTCGAATGCAGTTGTGCACGCCCATGAATTAAAACGACTTTGCCCTTTTTAGTTATCAGTAAATACGTAAAATACCTGTTACATAATTATTATGGTAGGTAAATAAATGGTCGCACGGAACACAAATTTATAGTTTTGGTCTAGCAAGCCACCAGAAATATTCGATTCAAGATTTAACTTATCACGCCTAGAAACATGCAGCTGACACAAACACTGCTTTTGACTATTTTAGCTGCAAGTGGAATCGTGTGCCATAAACACCAAAAAACCAAAAAATTTGAAACGGAATATGAGTGGACTTATATTAATTTCACCTGGAAAAGTGAAACCGATTACCAAAATGCTATCAATACCAAAACATACATCCCAGAAAACAACGCAATATCAGGATTTAAATTCTACAAAGACAGTTTCTATTTCGCCTTGCCTAGAATATGTAGTGGCACACCAGTAACTCTGGCATATTTCTCCACCAAGAACACTACTCCGAAAACAGGACCCCTACTCATCCCCTTTCCGGATTGGAAAACCAACGACGTCAACAACCCCAGCTGCGATAAACTGGTAAACGTCCAAAGTCTAGAAATCGACGCTAATGGCGTTATGTGGGTGCTAGACGCGACCAGACAAACACCCTCAAAGTGTCCCCCAAAACTTGTCTTGTATGACCTCAACAACAAAGGTAAAACTGTTCACACCTACATTTTCCCCGACGATGTCTGCTTGCACAATGGTGGTTTCTTAAACGATATAGTCATAGATGACTCGGATGGCACGTTTGCGTACATCCCTGACACCAGTTTCATTGATCCAGGCTTAGTGGTGTATTCTAAAACCAAAAATCGTGCCTGGAAACTTCGAGACGCCTCGATGTTTCCCGAAATAAAGGCTGCTGGGTTTGTTGTGAATGGTGACGTTATTAACCCATTGTATCCCATCGATGGTATAGCTTTGTCACCGAAAGTTTCTTCTGGATCACGACGTGTCTACTATAGTGCTCTAACTGGCGTGAGACTCTACTCTATTAATACAAAACTTCTAAAAAATGAGACGGTGTTTTCTGGCGATGCCTGGAGGAGGAATGTTAAGTATGTTGGGGCAAAACGAGCTCAAAGTGATGGTATGGTCATGGATAATGCGGGTGTTTTGTATTATGGATTGCTTCCGCTCGATGCTATTGAAAAATGGAATACAAATGAACGTTTGAAAAAAGCTGAGGTTGTTTATCAAAATTATAAAACTATGATTTGGCCTGATAGCTTCTGTTTTGACAATAGAGGAAACGTCTACGTTCTTGCCGACGAAATTTATAAGCTTATTTTGACTAAATGTGTTTTTAATTCCTCTCAAAATTATGTTAAGTATAGGATTTTCAAAAGTTTTACAGGCACTCAGAGTTATTTGTACACGGCTAAATAATCTGTTTCGAGTCCACTCGAGTCTAAGTTTTTTCTTTGTATTTTTTTTTTTTTAGTACTTAGTATAAAATAAATTGACTAATCACGGTCTGTTTTGTGGCAATTAGTAATAAGATGAGTTTGTATTAATTTTAAGAGAATACATAATCTGGTGCCTTGACTTTGAAATTTGAATTTGACGCCAAGAGAAAAAAAAAGACGTCTAGAAGCCGCAATTGAAAAAATTAAAAATATGCAAATCAGTCGATAACGTAGGCAACCATGGGTAGAAGAATGTCACCTTCGGCTTTCGTAGGGGTAGAGGAAAAAATGGATCACATTCGACGCCACAGTCCTCCCCAACAGGTGTAATGTGTAAGACCCCAGTTAAATGCGATTTTTGAAATGTGTAAAACTGACGAATTCGTCAACACGTAATTTTTGTTTTCATTATTTTTCATTCACAGTTCATGTTAAAATTTGTAATTGTTAGCGGTTCTAACGATTTTTGTTTAAATAGTTTCCAAGAATTTTGGAGACCTCTTGTGTCTGGTTTTTGAAGTAATTTGAAAAAATCTCGGGGACCACTTTTGTTTCGAAGTAGTGCTTTCTGTCGAAACAACTTTCGATCAAAGTTTTCTTTAATATACGTATAATCATCTTTTAGCAACAAAGAACTTAAAACGTCTTGAAAATGGCAAAATTTTTCCAAAGAAATGTGGATTTTGTAATTAACCTCCGCCCTTCGAAGTGACAATAAATGAAAAATTCATCACAATTGAGACAGGGGTGAGTGGGCGGGGTTTAATCAATGCTTCTTTTTCTTAATGTATAGAGTTTACTTTCAACAACATAATAATTAAAACATAATTCTAACCTCGAATTCACCATTTGATATTTTCAGTAGTTTATTATTGAAATAGGTAAGCCCCACCCACCCGCCCCATGTCTATTGTGATGAATTATTTTATTCGTCGTGAGACCGAGGGGTGGGGCTTAACTGCAAAGTCCATATTTCTGTACAAGAAATTACCAAGTGAAAAATGTTTGAGATTTGATCGTATTGTTGAAAATAGACTACTTTGAGAAAAAATAGGGAATAAATATGCTTATTTTCTCAAAAGAACAAGGAGATTTCGAAAAGGAAAGAAAAAACACTGTACGTAATGGTAGATTTGGCAACCGTGGTGACGTTTCACATGGTAATTTCTTGTAAAGAAATAGAGATTTTGAAATTACGCTCCGCCCCCCAGCTGACGACGAATAAAAAAATGCATCACATCTGAGACAGGGGCGGGTGGGTGGGGCTTATATTTTACCTTCTTTTTTTCTTAATATGCATTGTCATCTTCTCACAACAAGAAACTTAAAATATCTTCAAAATGGTAAATTTTTCTACAGAAATGTGGATTTTGTAATTAAGACGCGTCCTTCGAAGTGACAATAAATGAAAAATTCATCACAATTGAGATAGGGGGGTGGGTGGGGCTTAATCAATGACTTCTTTTTCTCAATCTATAGAGTTTACTTTCAACAACATAATAGTTATAATATAATTCTTACCTCAAATTCACCATTTGATAGTTTCAGTATTTTGTTATTGAAATGGATAAGCCCCACCCACCCGCCCCATCTCAATTGTGATGAATTATTTTATTCGTCGTGAGACCGAGGGGTGGTGCTTAACCGCAAACTCCATATTTCTGTACAAGAAATTACCAAGTGAAAGATGTTTGAAATCTGATCGTATTGTTGAAAATAGACTTCTTTGAGAAAAAATAGGGAATAGATATGCATATTTTCTCAAAAGAACAGGGAAATTTCGAAAAGGAAAGAAAAAACTACTGCACGTAATGGTAGATTTGGCAACCGTGGTGACATTTCATGTGGTAATTTCTTGAAAGAAATAGAGATTTTGAAATTACGCTCCGCCCCCCAGCTGACGACGAATAAAAAAATTCATCACATCTGAGACAGGGGCGGGTGGGTGGGGCTTATATTTTACCTTCTTTTTTTCTTAATATGCATTGTCATCTTCTCACAACAAGAAACTTAAAATATCTTGAAAATGGTAAATTTTTCTACAGAAATGTGGATTTTGTAATTAAGCTGCGTCCTTCGAAGTGACAATATCTCGATCTATAGAGTTTACTTTCAACAACATAATACTTAAAACATAATTCTTACCTCGAATTCACCATTTGATTTTTTCAGTATTTTATTATTGAAATGGATAAACCCCACCCACCCGCCCCATCTCAATTGCGATGAATTTTTTTATTCGTCGTGAGACCGTGGGGTGGAGCTTAACCGCAAAGTCCATATTTCTGTACAAAAAATTACGGAGTGAAATATGTTTAAAGCATTATCGTATTGTTTTGAGAAAAAACAGGGAACAAAGAAGGGAAAAACTTTACAAAATTTTGCTAACTAAGTAGCACTAATAAACAGTGAAGGCTTGATTTCTGTAGTATTGTTTGATTTTCAAATAAATTGTTCCTTAGATAAAAACTCACTTCTACCAGGGGCGGCTCATGACTTGAAAAATTGATGAGGCACAGCACAAAACGCTCTAAAATATAAATAAATCAAGATTACTTAAATATTTTCTATTTAGTCAAATAAACAAATTTGTAAACTCATTTAACTGTCCACAAAGAACCAACGTGAAGGTGTAAGGAGGTCTTGCAAGGAAAGGATGAGAATGACAGGACAAAAGGAAAGGGAAGCGTGGTCAGAAAAAACTAATATAACTTCTAACAAAAAACAAAATTAAAATAAACTTTAAAGGAAACATATCGAAAAAGATCAAATACAACATAAAATAAAGCTAATTTTATTTATAACAAAAAACAAAATGAAAAAAATATAAAATATAAACACGGATTTATTTTAAATTTTTTTTATGGATCAATTAACGATTTACTCAAATCAGGAACCGGCGGTTTTAATTCCTTAACTACATACTTTTTTATCATCATATGTGAAAGTAGAAAAAACAGAACTGCCATTGTCATTTAACGTTAGTAGAGAAAAATTCCGATTTACTCGTAATCTTAAATAACGATTACCGAAATCAAATTATGACAAGCACAAAGCACTAACGCGACCCACGCAAACGTAGGCACTTTTAAGACAAAATTCTGTTACCGAAATTTTGAATCAATTTATACACACACAGATTTGTGGCAAAACAATCAACGGCCTAATTTTGAATACTCCTGCGAATGCAGACTGCATTGCAATCGCACGTTCCCCGCGCAAATAATATAGTTGTCCATCTCTTTTGCAAGCACGGAAATGAGGCTAGCCTCAATTTTGTCTTTTTTCAACTCATACCGTTTATAAGTGTATTGCAGGTTGCTTGCCTATTAACGACATGATTTCTATATATGCTGTAGAGGCAAGCTTCGAGTCGGCCTCATTCGCGTCACAAAATACATGTTGTGCCGAGTGTTTAAGCGCGCTGTTTAATTAAGGGAGCAACGAGTACCTACCGAGATAAAAATAAGAATATAATTTTCTATATTTATTTTTAAAATTTTAGAAAAAAGACACAAATTATTGGCCGAAATGTGTCCGTATAAAATAAAAAAAATCCTAATAAGGCGTAAAATTCATTGGTGAGGCACTGCCTCACCTGCCTCATAGGACAAGCCGCCCCTGACTTCTACCCTAGCGTATGGTTGGAAAACAACCTAAATAAAGTTACAGGTGCCCATAACAAGTCTGAAGACATTTTATTTAGCGTATTTGCTTCAAATAATTTAATAAAAAACTTGACAAATTATAATGTCAAGTTTGACGTGGAACGCCTGCTATTATACACTGCGTTTCAAATAAAATGCACCACCTAGAGGGAGTAGGTGTAGAATGTTGAAATTTGGTGGAGAAGACTATTGCATATAGACAAACATTTGATTAAAATTTGAACTAAAAATTACAGCTTGTTTAGATAATATACCGGGTGTTATTCGATTTTGATTAATTTTTTGATTATGTTTTAAAGACACTTGAGTAAGATTCTTTTGCAATTTGACTTGACATTTGTCATGATTGTGCTTGCAAAAATGCTACGAGTTCGCACACGAGGTAATTTTCAACAGATAACACCTATTGAAAGAGGGCGAATTATTGGGTTGCATGAGACTGGTTTACCATTTCGGGAAATCACCAGAATACTAGGCCCAACGCATTCTACGATATTAAGAACAAGTCGAGAATGGAACAACGAAGAGCTACAAATGGGTCGCAGGGGTACCGACCGTTTCAGAGTCACCCAAGAACGCGAAGATCATTTGCTAAGAAGAAGTGTTATTCAATGCCCTTGGTAACCATAACGATCAGTCTGGCTGGACTGGATGATACCAATTGGGCACAGAATCGGAGGAGTACCATCTACCGCCAAATTCGTTCCTTTAGCTTGAGATCTTATGGTCCAAACTGTAAACTTCCCTTACCACAAGAACACAAAACTACCAGGCTTCACTGGTACTAAGACAGACAGCAGTGGCTGTAATAGTGGAATGTCATAATGTTTAGAAACGAGTCTAGGTTTTGTTTGTGGCACTCTGATGGACGCATACGTGTTCGAAGGCCTCGAGGCCAAAAGTAAAATCTGGAATTTGTACAGAGACATCATACCGCTCTAACACCTGGAGTAATGATATGTGGTGGTATACACATCTGTTGAAGTACCCCCTTAGTGTTCATTCCAGGCACGCTAAATGCCCGGCGTTACATCGATAACGTGTTAAATCAAATTCTTTTTCCTTACCTCTAGAACCGTCGAAGAACATCTTTTCAACAAGATAATACGTGGTCTCATGTGGCCATATTAACTTAAAGAGTGTTTGAAGAAAATAACGTCAACTTCTTACCCTGGCCTGCCCGATTACCAGATGTATCAACAATCGAACATGTTTAGGATGTAATGCATAGAAGGCTGCGCAATTTACCATATCCTCCAAAGACTTTGGAAGAATTGCTACAAAAAATTCAAAATGCCTGGAATGAGATACCCCGACAGGCAATAGATCATCTCATTTTAAGCATGCCTAGAAGAATACAGTCTTGTATTCGCGCACATGTAATTTTAACACATTTTTAACATTTCTTGTGTTAGACATTTTATTTTTTCTTTGAAATTTTAATCAAATGTTTGTCTATATGCAATAGTCTTCTCCACCAAATTTCAACATTCTACGCCTACTCCTTCTAGGTGGTGCATTTTATTTGAAACGCAGTGTAATTATAAAATGAGTGAAGTGAATTTTTATTTCAATTTATTTTTATTTATAATGACTGTGAATAAAATAGTATACCTACACTCGAACGTGTTTCATTCCCGTCTCAACGCCTGTTGTTGGCGTCGGTATGTAATATACTATTACAGTTCAGCATGTGCTCGGTTTGAAAATACTCTGCCAACATGGCCGCTGCCAGAACAAAGAATTTACCTGATGTCAAATTATGCCACACTTTGTCAACGATTCAAACAAAGAATTTTCATTATATTATATTATGCCATTATCCAAGTGATTGGTTACTTAAAACAATTAGCTTTGAGAGTTTATATCGTGGACTGTCCTCAATTTATCCCAAACAAAACACATGATAAATAAACACAAAAATGATTTCCACGTTGCGAGAAAATATGTCTCAGTCATATAGCTTTCCACGTTGCGAGAAAAATATCCCGGTGATGTGATGATAATACAATGATAATAATTGCCAAAGGGGAGATTTTTTTTTAATCCTCGCGTACCTCAGTGCACGATATTATGAATTCTATCGCACTTTCCACGGTTTTTTCCCAAAGTGGAACAACGTTAGGTTAATTTAACTGCCTTAAATGAACTATTAACAATCTTGTATGAGGAAACACTTAAGTATAAGCATCCAGAAACCTTATTCATAATTTGATGAACAAAGAATGACTCCTGACTAAGTGAAGCTCATGAAATCTCATGCAAGTACTTTATCTGAACAAATCTCATGACTATTAAATTGTGTTAGAACCAGTTAACGATTAAAATCCTAACGTGAACTGTAAATTTACAAACAATAAATCAAATTTACACCACGTGTTGGCGTCGGTCGAAAATTCGCATATATATCCGCTTGGAAAAACCGCAAGAATTAGGCACGCGTGTTGGGGAAACTGTGGCGTCATCAGCGGTACGATTAATTTTCGTTAAACAAAGGCTTCCCCCTTTTTATTAACTACCAAATCAACTAAACTTAACCTAGCCACGTGGTTTCACCCACACCAAATAAACCAAAAGTGATGTGTCACGACCAAAGACTTCAAATATATATAGACCGGCGATAGAACGAAAAAGCTGAAGCTAACCGGTCGCCATTTTGGATGTGACCGAAACCGCGGGAAGTTTAAAATCGTATACAATCGACTTCATATGAATAGTGAGTTTGCACACCATACACACACAAACTAATAAACCTCAACAATACTATAATTGCTGAATCTTAAATGCACGGAAACACGATCAAAAGAACCAAAGAAACTGTGATCACATCCACGTCACAACTGAAAGTGATACATAAGAAAGAAATAGGTTATGGGTATGGGTTGTTGCGGTGTTATTAGCGACAGAAAAGTAACAGCAATGGCGGCGATTTCTGTTGACACAACTGCTTCACGAAATACAATAGAATTTAGGGTGACAGCCAGTCTATATATATTTGAAGTCTTTGGTCACGACCCTCTAGCAAGCCAGCACACCTCGCTACCAACCCCCTAACTAAAATTCCCTAGCAGAACTACCAACCATCAGAAAAAGAACTAAACGTGCACATGGTTGCCTATATTTAACAATTTTCTTATTTTTTTTCAATTTCAAATTATTCAAATGTGATTTCGCGCCGTTGTTAATTTTTTTAGCGCGTAATTTTAATCAAATTTGGTCACCACAAGACACTTCATATTTCTGCCGCTTACTAAATTACTCTTTATCCGGTCTTTGCAAACTAGCTAGTTATTAAACCACGCTGTGCATTTCACGCCGATGCGAGTCTTCCCATGAAGTGTCAATTTCAACATCTACTTGGGCAATGACAAAACCGCGTTAGAAGAAAACACACATGAATAAATGATATTAAATCATGTGTTATTTCAAGTGGTTGATTAAATCAAAATTCGTTCACCGATTACCTTGTGGGCTGAAACCCCCATATCGTATACAGAAAAAACACATTCAGTACGATGAAAATCACAATAAACTGGTTTCGGAAACGCTGTGCTCCAGAAAGGCATCGTCGAGAATAAATGTTCGAATTCAGGTGGCACAAATGTTCAACCTACAAGAGAATAATGAAACGTGAAACAAACTAAAATTTTTTATTTTAATTCAAACCAGGACACCACTTACGTCACAAATATCGAGGAAATAAGTTGAATAACAGATGACTCTATAAAAAAATCAATGTCATATGAAACATTTACAAATTCACATAAAAATTAACTAATCTGAACACAAAACTATTAAGAATATGATCTTTTTAAGGAAGAATTTTTGTTATTGTACAAAACAATTCATATTAAAGATTCCATTGCATTTTTAATACAAAGATTGAATTATCTTTATTATTATTAAAATGTTCAAATGAAGTGTCTGTTAAAAAATCCTCGAACAATGAGTTCCTACCACAGTATTAAAAAAAACTGTTATTCAATTTGAAACCTGATTCTGGTCTTTCAGTAACGCTTACGTTCTCTTGAAAACAGTGTCGACTTACATGGCAGATATCAATAACAACCTACAAAAGTTAAAATGCAATTATTAATATCGCAATGTCACAAATAATGGCCACTCTCGCTTGATAAAAGTAAACAAAGTGCCTCACTCATCGATTATTATAACTTTATCGGCAAGACTAAAGTAGTCACCTCCAAAAAAAACAGATAAGTCGACTTGGTGACCTTCGTCCTTTCCTTTCTATACAATATACCTAAACATAAACAAACTAACGCTGACATGATTCCACTTTCAGTCTTCACACCGCAAACATGAACCGTTCAATAACCACTCTCACCGCAGTACTATTAATCATCTTCAGTACCACCGTTTCTTGTGAGTGTACAAAAGGCAAACGTGCTTCAAGTTTCGAAGTAGAATACCAATGGACGTTTATCAATTTCACCTGGGAAAATGAAAACACCTACAACGATGCGGTCACCACCAAAAGGTACATCCCGGAAAACAACGCCATGGCAGGAATCAAATTCTACAAAGACACCTTCTACATCGCCATGCCCAGGATATGCGAAGGTACGCCGGTGACGCTAGGCTACATCTCAACCAGTGACACCACCCCAAAATCTGAATCCTTGATCAGTCCATTCCCTGACTGGAACACCAACGACTTGACCAACCACACGTGCGATAAACTCGAAAACGTCCAGAGTATGGAAATCGACGCTGACGGGATCATGTGGGTTCTGGATGGGTTCCGCAAACCCACGTCAAAGTGTCCCCCAAAACTTGTCTTGTACGATTTAAACAACGAAGCCAAAGTTGTCCAGAGTTTCACTTTTCCAGAAGAAATCAGCTTGAGCAAGGGTGGTTTTTTGAACGATTTGGTGGTGGATGACAGTGACGGCGGGTTTGCTTACATTACAGAGCACGGTTCTGTCGATCCAGGCATAGTTGTGTATTCTAGAGCCCAAAATCACGCCTGGAAGATTCGGGACGCGTCAATGTTTGCCGAAATTGATGCAACGAATTTCGTGGTTGACGAAGTTGTTTTTAATAAGTTGGCACCAGTTGATGGAATCGCGCTTTCACCGAGGAACCCATCGGGACCCAGGCAGCTGTATTATTGTGCACTTACTGGGGTAAATCTTTATTCTATTAGTACGGAGATTCTAAAAGATGAAACTGCGTGTTCTGGGGGTGAGTGGAGGGTTAATGTTACACACATTGGGGCCAAGTCAGCTCAGAGTGATGGTATGGTGGTTGATAATACCGGGGTTTTGTATTACGGGTTGCTTCCACTTTATGGTGTGGGGAGCTGGAATAGCAGTGGATCGTTTGAAGACGCTGGGGTTGTGTATGCGAATAATGGGACGATGATTTGGACCGATAGTTTTAGTTTTGATGATAAAGGGTATTTGTATCTTCTGGCTAATAATATTCATAAGTATTTTCTCACACAATGTGCGTTTGACTCTACTGAACCTTATGTTAAATTTAGAATTTTAAAACATTTTACTGGTACTCAAAGTTATTTACACTAAGCAAACTCTGTATTTTTATGTGATGATAAATGTATATATTTTTTTGTTCACACATTAATTTCATTCAAGGAACTGTAGGAAAATATTTCTTCATTAAATTATAAAGAGAAAGTTCGAAAAGTCAAGGTAAGTTCTTCTAGTGTAGAATTTTTTAAAAATTCCAAAAATTGTAATTTTTCAATGGGTGATTCTGAAAAAAACGCTTAGAGTTATTGAAGAAACGAGCCTCAAAGTGACTTGTGCGGCTCGAAATCTACAAGAAAATGTATTTAATTAAGTTTCGAAATTGGTCGAAAATGAGTCGAAATTTGAAGGTGTCGGAAAAATTTCACTTTTGAAAAAATTGTTTAAAAATCCACTTTGGAGTATAGATCTCGATATGGATATTCTGCCCTCCCGAAATGTCGATCCCATAAATTTGAACGAAGTTACCACACCATGACATTTTACCAAAACTTCAAAATTCTACCTGTCAACAAATGATAAAACATCACCCAAAATCTCAATCCGATGAGTCTACGACGACGAAAATCCAAACCCGACGACGAGGAGGAAATCGAAATTGATTTTATAAAAGAGGATATTATCTTATGGCCCTTAGAAGACAAAGCCGACGACGGCAACGACGACGATGATGATGACGACGACGACGACAACGACGACAATGACGGAGACAAAAGTAAATCCGAACCATAGCCTAGCAGACTTCCTTCACTTCAGTTGTTACGTTCTAGAGGAAATTGTTTTAACTGAAGCGCCTCAAGAGCTACCCAACAGCACCAGTTGCACCTCCTTGAATGTAAACTACGACAACAACAGCATCCATAGCAAATTGTCATCCATCTCGAGCTTTGACGGTCCAATAGCGGATGTCTACCGCAAACGTCGCCACGGATCTAACAGATGTAATTTCAACGAATTTCACAATTTGGGTTAAATTTTATGGTAAGGTTTTAGTTAGAAACAACACTCGCACACGAATTGAACCCACCGTTCTCAACCACGTCCTGGACATTCTCTCTATTTGTTTTTGGAAATGTTCGACAGGATGCCAGCAGTTGCCCGACAAGCAGTAGTCGACTATTAGCTTTGCTCACGAAATAAAATGTTTTTGGTTTTTGGGAGTCATATTTCCTTCCTAAGTAAACAAATGGGTTATAGTTAAGTTTTCTTATCCGTTTTACTAAGAAGCCGCAGAGCGAATAGATATATTATTATATTTAAATATCGAAAATTCCGAATCTTGTAGCATTTTTGTTAAGTTATTATTTAGTGACAGTGTGAAAAATTGGGTGGACAAAAATTATGAAAACAAAAAAAATAAAAAAACAAAATGTCAATATGGTTGGTGTATTCAACTATTGCAAAATTTGGCACATCTCATTTTGGCGAATTTTCGAAAAAAAAAACAACTTCTTAAGGAAAAGGGCTTTTTAGTCTTAGTGGAAGGTGCTGGAATGCTTGGAAAAAGGTGAAACCTTTCATACGACCAGGTGTTGAAAAATACTTTTGACGAAGTTGCTTCAAAAGCCAGATGCAAAGTCGTATCTCAAATTTTGCCAGATCATTTTGGAGATTCTGGAAGAATCAAGTAGAAAAAAATTCTGCAGGCCGCAATCATGAAAAGAATCTCTTTTGATAATTTTTGCAAGGTTGTCGAGAAAAGATAAAAATTTGAAACTCTAGGATGGAAATTTCAGGTAGGACTTTTGCCCATATTTTATTTTGGCGATTTTGCAAAAAATGGTGGGAATTTTAGTAGAAATGAAGCTCAGAAAATTTTGTAGAACTTAAAATCACCAAAAGAATCTCCTTGATAATTTTTGAAGTTGGTCGGAAAAAGTCAAACATACGGGAAGTCAGTGGCGGCTCGTGACTTTGAGACGGGGAGACACAATTTGATTGATAGATATAAAACAGGCCGTTATTACCAATTAATAGGCGAAATTGTATGACGGAAATAAATACAAAAATACAGTCAATAAAAGTAAAAAAGTATTTGTCCACTTACTTTTAGTTTAACTCATTACTGAGGAGACACACAAAACAATTTGTTATTTTTTCACAACCGCACATTCGCAAAAATTTATTATACGTGGTATGTCTATTAACATATTTATGAAAGTGTCGCTTTGCTATGAACACTTTTTTAATTAATAAATCGGGGGTTGCTCCCTCTTTTAGTAAATATTCAACTGAATTCATATTTTTATTTAAAATAAAACACTTTCACTTGCGCAAAACAAAAATGAACTCCCGTAGTTGAATTATTGCTAGCGGTCACTGTTTCAAATGTGACTCCTTTCCAGACAAATACAGCGACTGGAGATGCTGTTTCCATGGCAACGGTGTAAACAAAAAGTCTAAATGAGTCATTATTGGGTTTCCCTTTTTTTTATCGCGACCTCACCAACGATATATTCAAGGCACAATATCTTTAGATGTCAGTTTTGATATATTTGGTACCAATGGAGCGTGATAAAAAAAATTTAGTTTTGGTAATAATTATGACGCAAACTTCCGGATAATTTTTTAAATATTGAAAGTTACTGTTTTGCGATGTCCAGTGTATTTGTAGACATTGTACCCCCTGCAGGAAGTAAGCTTGTTTAAAAATGTACAAAAAAATCTGGGATATACATCTCAAAACACACAGTGTTTGGTCATAATTCCGGACCAACATTTTCGAAATATTTGGTTTCAAAGTCGAATTTTCAAAATATCCAAAAATTACTAGATTTCATTTTGGTGATTTTGGAAAAATGGTGGAAATTTTCTAAGAAATGAAACCGTAAACTTCTGGAGGTCAAAATGAATTAAGTCAATTTTTTTGATAATTTTCAGCTGTACTTGGAAAAAGGTAAAAAAGTTCATACGTGTCGAAACTGAAAAATTGAGCTCTTTACAAAGTTGCCTAAAACAAAAATTTTCCGAATATTCGGCTTTAAAGTAAAATTTTTAATGTCTCAAATTTCGCCATTTTTTATTTTGACAGATCCACAGATCGAAATCAAGAAAATAATCATTTTTGATAATTTTCGAAGGGAAAAATTTCATACTGAAAAATTTCATAGTATTGACAAATTGAGCATTTGGCGAAGTAGTTTAAAAATCCATAAAAAAACTGGGATTTAAATTTTGAGCTGAACTGAAAAATGCTCCAGGACCAACATTTACCGAATATTCGGTTTCAAAGTCAAATTTTTAAAATAAGTCAAATTGTCATATTTTAGTTCGGCGATTCTAGTGAAATGGTAGGAATTTTTGAAGAAAAGAAATCATAAAAACTACTGGAGGTCAAAATAAACGAAAAAAATTCTTTTGATAATAATTTTCAACTGTACCTGGGAAAGAGTCAAAAATCTGCCAGGCTGAAAAATTGAGCTTTTGATAAAGTTGCCTAAAAAACCATAAAAGCTTTGGAATATCGATCGCGACAACTTTAACCGAAAAATCAAAATTTTCAAAATATTCTCATTCCAATCATTTCATTGTGAAATTCTGGAAAATGGTAGAAAAAATTACACTAAAAAAAACTTCCATAGAAAATGATCAAAATAATCCCTTTTGATCATTTTCGAAGATTAACGGTTCTCGGGAAAAAGTGAAAAATTTCATAGGGGAGAGTAGTGAAAAAATGGAGTTTCTGGCAAAGATGCCTAAAATAAAAAAAAATTCGACAAGCTGAATCAAAAAACATTGCGTACTGAATGTTACGAACTAAGATATTTAAAATACATATTTGGTTTCAGAGTGGAATTTAAAAAAAAAACTGACCAATTTCATGTTCGCGGTTGTGGAAAATTGGTAGAATTATCGAAGAAATGACCGGAAAACACCTTTTGGATCGCAAAATCAAGAAGAGAATCTTTTTCATAGTTTTTTAAGGTTGTCATGGAAAGGCCAAAAGCTTCATATTGAAAAAATTGGGCTTGCTAGGGGAGGTATTGACAAATTGGGCTTTGGACGAAAGTACTAGCCCCGCACACCCGCCCTTTATTTTCTTAAAAGAGTAGGTCATTTGCCAAGATCAGTTTTATTTTGGCAAATACTAGCTGGCCTATCCGCCCTTGATTTTCATTAGGAGATATGTCATTTGGCAAAATCAATCTTATGTTAGCAAGTACTAAACCCGCCCACCCACCCTTTATTTTTTTGGAAGAGCAGGTCATCTGCCAAAATCAGTCTTATCTTGGCAAGTGCTAGCCCCGCCCACCCACCCTTATTTTTTTAGAGGATATGTCATTTGGAAAAATCAGTCTAATCGTAGCTAGTGCTAGCCCCGACCACTCGTCCTTTATTTTCTTAGAGAGTAGGTCATTTGCCAAGATCAGTTTTATTTTGGTAAATACTAGCTGGCCCACCTACCATTTATTTTCATTAGGGATATGCCATTTGGCAAAATCAATCTTATCTTACCCAAGTACTAGCCCCGCCCACCCACCCTTTATTTTCTTGGAAGAGCAGGTCATCTGCCAAAATCAGTCTTATCTTGGCAAGTGCTAGCCCCACCCACCCACCCTTATTTTTTTAGAGTATGTCATTTGGGAAAATCAGTCTAATCTTAGCTAGTTCTAGCCCCAACCACTCGTCCTTTATTTTCTTAGAGAGTAGGTCATTTGCCAAGATCAGTTTTATTTTGGTAAATACTAGCTGGCCCACCTGCCCTTTATTTTCATTAGGGGGTATCTTATTTGGCAAAATCAATGTTATCTTAGCTTAAGTACTAGCCCCGCCCACCCACCCTTTATTTTCTTGGAAGAGCAGGTTATCTGCCAAAATCAGTCTTATCTTGACAAGTGCTGGACAAAATTTTGGAATGTGTTCAAACAAATTTATAAAGCAACCCAACATTGCTCCATTTTCTTTTTTCGAAATATAGCTAAAAACACCTTCTGGACACAAAAATCAGGCGCGCAGAGCAAGAAAGGGAGTACAGAAAAATTGAGCGTGAGCTAAATAGAAAAACAGCTTTAAACAGCAGAATTTTATGGTTTCAAATATTTTTGGCATCTTTTTTACTATTTTTTTTTGCTACTCAGAGCTATTACTTAAACAAAATTTGAATTGTTTTTAATATCTATAATCTACGTTTTCTGGCTTGAAACAAATAATCTGAAATTTGACATGTAAGAAAGCAAACATCTATTCACAATTTGTTTCAATAAATTGTTTCAAATAAAGAATAGTTTAAAAATAAGTCATTTCATGCATGTATTTATTACTAAGAAAATAGTGCTACGACGGAAATTTCAGCCAAATGGCTAATATGGAAGAATGTGAAATAAGGGTACTTTTTCTCAAGCGCCCTCTATGTGATAGTAGTTTAAACATCGGTTTTCATGCTGTCTTCATTCGTCTTGTAACTAGTAGCAAGCTCATATATAAATTCGGATGGATTTTTTTTATCAACCATCCAGTGATCCCCAAAAACTTAGACTGGAACTATTTATATCTATTTAATCAATGAATAAATTGAATAATTCTTGAAACTGTTAACTTGGATGTGAAATATGTCTTCACAAAAGTGTTCGTTTTTACTGTTCTGTTTCTGAAAGAAAATATTCCAAAAGCCATTTTACCTTCTCTAACCTAAAACAAAACAGTTTTACAACATCCTTTTCTTCCAGTGAAGACTATATCTACGAATTTCTTAAATACATATAAAAATCAAACAGAGGCCTGACCACAACTTGTTCTGACTGTCCATGCACGTCATGTAGCACGTGATTTCCAACTTTTTAACAAAATTGACCTAAAATAGAAAAATTAAAAAACACAGTAAAAAATTAATATATTTCAAGGGAAAACTATTACCAAAAATGTATCAATCGAAAAATGAAAATATTTTCACAAACAGCATGAAAAAGTACCTACAGAAGACGCATATATTACCATACAGGAAGAAATTTTGTAAACTAATTACAACAATACATTATATTTAAGATAACCAAAAGTTTTTAACACGAATGCTATCTACAACCCGAACCGGGCCGGAGTTCGCCGAGGCGTTGCCCCTGCCGACACGATCTCCTGTCCTTTATTCATGGCAGCTTCTCTCTTCTCGGCCGCCTCTTTCCGAGCCCTCATCTCCTCCTGAGCCATCTGCATCTGGTTCTCCATTTCCTGGAGATGTTCTGCCGCTTGCTTCTTCTTGGCCCGTCCGCTTTTGCCCGTTTCTTTCAGAGAGAAGAACATGGGACCTAGTTCGGCCAACCAGTGGCCGTCCACGGAGGTGACACACTGCATGTACTCGCGGGCTGTCATTACCAGTTCGTGGTAGACCACGTAGTCGGGTGTGCTTCCGAGGCCGAAGAGAGCCGAAGTGGGGTGGAGGTGACACGGCATGCCGGTACGGCAGTTGACGTATTCGCCGATGCCTTTGAGTCGGGCGGCTTGGTGGAAATAGGCTGGAAAAAGACAGGATTTTTAACGGATTTCATGTTAAGGCACAGTACTTGAATTGTTAACAATTTGGTCAAGCGGCTTATTAATTTGTATCTATTTTGATGGCAACTTAAAGAAAAATGTGTCAAAAGTAAAATTATTCATGTAATAAGGTAAAACATGGTTGCACTAAAATGTTCACATCTTCGTATATACCAGATCATTAATAAGTAACCAGCTTCTAATGTTTGTTTTATCAGCTGTCTATAAAAAAACGACATTAAATAAGGAATCAAGAAGATAACATGGGGAGAGAAAAAGAACTTAAAAAAAAAAACAAAAATAAAGAAGGACAGAAAACGAGTAGAACTTCAAAATTACAAAAAATTCGAATTTCACAACTTTTTCACAAATGATATATATATTTCTTGTAGATTTTGAGCCGCAAAAGTCACTTCCGAGCTCACTTCTTCGATAAATCCAACCGTTTTTCCAGAATCACCCATTGAAAAATTACAATTTTTGGAATTATAAAAAAATTTGATTCTAAAACAAAATTCTTCGAAAATATTGCTCAGTCACCGTAAACATGCTCCATTTTTGGAATCAGCACGTCGAGATGTATATTCCAGAATTTTTTGAGGACCTTTTGGCAACTTTTCCAAAATTGAAATTTTTCCAATGGGCCCCCCTTCTTCAAATTTCGACCAAATTTTGAGATTTTCGGAACTTAACTAAATACATTTTCTTGTAGATTTCGAGCTCTAGAACTCACTTCCGGCATCATTTCTTTGAAAACTGCAACTGTTTTTCCAGAATCGACCGTTGAAATATCCAGATTTTTGAAATTTTGTTGAAAATTGGTCGATATCGAAATTTTTAGAAATTTTCAAAAATTCGCATTTCGTGCCGATTCTTTCGAAAATGACTTTTTCAAAAATGAAATTTTTTACTTTGTCCGGGCAACTGCGAGAATTACCAAAAGAAAGATTCTGTTGTTGATTTAGGCTTTATTTCCTCGAAAATGCCTACTATTTTTCCAGAATCACCAAAAAAAAAAGAAAATCTATGAAATTTTAAAAATTAATCCATGAATTTTCATACAGCATATGCGAATGGGATGAACTTGGAAAAAGACATAAGAAACGGACAGAAAACTGACAAACAACTCTTCTAAATTCTGGACAAATATCAGTGTAAAAATTTCGGGCAAATTTTGAAATTTTCGATACGCAACTAAATACATTTTCTTATAGATTTCGAGCTCTAGAACTAGTTTTCGGCCTCGTTTCTTTGATACCTCAAACCGTTTTTCCAGTATCGTCCGTTGAAATATCGAAATTTTTAGAAATTTTCAAAAATTTCGCTATTTCAACGGACGATACTAGAACAACGGTTGTAGTTATCTAAAAACGAGGCCGGAAGTGGGTTCTAGAGCTCGAAATCTACAAGAAAATGTATTTAGTGAAATTTCGAAAATTTTGTTGAAAATTGGTGGAAAATTGGGGTATTTTGCATATTTTTATATATTTCAAAGGACGATTCCGGAAAAACCATTGGAGTTATCGAAGAAATGAAAGCGAATATGACTTCTGCGGCCCAAAATCTACAAGAAAATGTATTTAGTGAAATTTCGAAAATTTTGTTGAAAATTGGTCGAAAATTGGCGTATTTTGCATATTTTTGAATGTTTCAAAGGACGATTGTGGAAAAACCATTGGAATTATCGAAGAAATGAAAGCGGATATGACTTCTGCGGCCCGAAATCTACAAGAAAATGTCTTTAGTGAAATTTTGAAAATTTTCTTGAAAATTGGTCGAAAATTGGGCGGATTATGCATATTTTTATATATTTCAAAGGACGATTCCGGAAGAACCATTGGAGTTATCCAAGAAATGAAAGCGGATATGACTTCTGCGGCCCAAAATCTACAAGAAAATGTATTTAGTGAAATTTCGAAAATTTTGTTGAAAATTGGTCGAAGATTGGGGTATTTTGTACATTTTTGAATGTTTCAAAGAACGATTCTGTAAAAACCATTGGAGTTATCGAAGAAATGAAAGTGGATGTGACTTCTGCGGCCCGAAATCTACAAGAAAATGTATTTAGTGAAATTTCGAAAATTTTGTTGAAAATTGGTCGCAAATTGGGTGGATTTTGCATATTTTTATATATTTCAAAGGATCATTCTGGAAGAACCATTGGAGTTATCGAAGAAATGAAAACGAATACGACTTCTGCGGCCCGAAATCTACAAGAAAATGTATTTACTGAAATTTCTAAAATTTTGTTCAAAATTGGTTGAAAATTGGAGTATTTTGTAAATTTTTGAATGTTTCAAAGGACGATTCTGGAAAAACCATTGGAGTTTTCGAAGAAATGAAAGCGGATATGACTTCTGCGGCCCGAAATCTACAAGAAAATGTATTTAGTGAAATTACGAAAATTTTGTTGAAAATTGGTCTAAGACATCGAAATTTTAGAAATTTTAAAAAATTCGCATTTCGTACCGATTCTTTCGAAAATGTTGCTCCGTGACCACCAACACGATATATTTTTGGAATCAGTATGTCGAGATCTACATCCCTGAATTTTTTCAGAATTTTCAGACAACTTTTGTAAAAGTTAAATTTTTCCAATGGTCCCCCCTTCTTAAAATTTCGGCCAAATTTTGAAATTTTCGATACTCAACTAAATATATATTTTTGTAGATTTCGAGCTCTAAAACTCACTTCCGGCCTCGTTTCTTTGATACCTCAAACCATTTTTCCAATATCATCCGTTGAAATATCGAAATTTTTAGAAATTTTCAAAAATTTCGCTATTTCAACGGACGAAACGGTTGTAGTTATCAAAAAACGAGGCCGGAGATGGGTTCTAGAGCTCGAAATCTATAAGAAAATGTATTTAGTGAAATTTCGAAAATTTTGTTGAAAATTGGTCGAAAATTGGGGTATTTTGCATATTTTTATATATTTCAAAGGACGATTTTGGAGGAACCATTGGAGTTATCGAAGAAATGAAAGCGAATATGACTTCTCCGGCCCGAAATCTACAAGAAAATGTATTTATTGAAATTTCGAAAATTTTGTTGAAAATTGGTCCAAAATTGAGCGGATTTTGCATATTTTTATATATTTCAAAGGAAGATTCTGGAAAAACCATTGGAGTTATCGAAGAAATGAAAGCGGATATGACTTCTACGGTCCGAAATCTACAAGAAAATGTATTTAATGAAATTTCGAAAATTTTGTTGAAAATTGGTCTATATCGAAATTTTAGAAATTTTCAAAAATTCGCATTTCGTACCGATTCTTCCGAAAATGTTGCTCCGTGACCATCAACACGATATATTTTTGGAATCAGTATGTCGAGATCTACGTCCCTGAATTTTTTCAGGATTTTCAGACAACTTTTGTAAAAGTTAAATTTTTCCAATGGTCCCCAAAAAAGACGATTCTGGAAGAACCATTGGAGTTATCGAAGAAATGAAAGCGGATATGACTTCTGCGGCCCGAAATCTAGAAGAAAATGTATTTTGTAAAATTTCGAAAATTTTGTTGAAAATTGGTCGAAAATTGGGGTATTTTGCATATTTCTGAATGTTTCAAAAGACGATTCTCGAAAAACTATTGGTGTTATCGAAGAAATGAAAGCGAATACGACTTCTGCGGCCCGAAATCTACAAGAAAATGTATTTTGTGAAATTTCAAAAATTTTGTTGAAAATTGGTCGATATCGAAATTTTTAGAAATTTTCAAAAATTCGCATTTCGTGCCGATTCTTTCGAAAATGACTTTCAAAAATGAAATTTTTTACTTTGTCCGGGCAACTGCGAGAATTACCAAAAGAAAGATTCTGTTGTTGATTTAGGCTTTATTTCCTCGAAAATGCCTACTATTTTTCCAGAATCACCAAAAAAAAAAAGAAAATCTATGAAATTTTAAAAATTAATCCATGAATTTTCATACAGCATATGCGAATGGGATGAACTTGGAAAAAGACATAAGAAACGGACAGAAAACTGACAAACAACTCTTCTAAATTCTGGACAAATATCAGTGTAAACGATTTTAAAAGAAAAAACAAACAATAAAAAAATAGAACATTAAAATTAAAAAAAAAAACGCAAATACGATAAAGTATCAATCAAATATCTGAAATTGTGTAAAAGAAGTGAAAAAAGATAAGATTAAGGAAATTACAAATAAGTCAGATAGTGGTAGTCGAAAACAAGTTTACAATTTTTTTCATAAATTGAGGCCAAAAATTAGAAAAATAAAATGCGCAATATTATTAGAAACTTATAGCTAAATTCAGGAGTCAGCAGACAGGTAACATATAACTGAAAGATGTCCCAAAATGTTTCAGTATTTATAAAAAAAAGAAAAGAAAACTTAAGTGTGTCAAAGTGACTAAAAAATATCTACCACTAGAAATATGTAACGATTTGATAACAAGCTTTTAATTTTGTTTAACTTGCAATTATAAGAGCAAGATAAATATCCAAGTGAAAATAAATTTTCATTGCTGTTATATAACAGTTTTATAGACGAATGCCAGCAATATTTTCATAACTGTTACTAAACAAGACTCTAAGATTTATAACAATGTTTCATAACTCTCTTATTGCTGCCTCTGTAAATTTCTTTAGCACATTAAAACACACATAATTTGATAGCAGCCTTCCGTTTCGCGTCGAGTTGCTAGTAACGAAAATACGTACTGCCATAAAATAATTCTTTCAGACTATTCATTTATTACCTGAACAAATGCACTTTCGCACTATATCCCAGTCAGTTCCACACGACTTTATTTCCAGTTTCTGCTGTACGAGAATGTCTTTCAACTGTTGTCTGACTTCTCGCACCTTCCTCATCGCTTTGATGTGTATGAAATGTTCGTTGCACCAATGTGACGAATATTTGTTTTGTTTCCACTGATTATATACATTTAAATATGTTAAGTGGTCGCTTTCAGGTACTTGAAACTTTTCTCTAACACCGTCGGCTTCTTCTTCGCGACCTTTTGGACGGTAGAAAATAGAAGGTACTGACAACATCGACACTAAAACAAAACAAAATTTAAATATTTAGCTACAATTTCAATTATAAATGCGATTACCTATAATCAAAATTTCGGCAGTGCAGCCCATTTGGCTTGACACAATTAACATTTGACATTGAGGCGGGTCCAAAGGAAATTCGGCCATTTGACGGCCTAATTTGGTTAGGACTCCAGTGTGGTCCAGTGCCCCCAAAATCCATAGTTGATACAGTGAATTCAAGATATTATCCTAAAAACAATAAAACGGGCAAAGTTTAGAACACAATATTGTAACAATCATTAATTATAAATGGTGATTCATGGGTTGAATCATTAAACACATATACAAAAAATAAACAATAGATAGTATCTCGTCAACTTTAATTTTTGGTCCAAAGATTTTAAAACTGTGTGTTGGTACAACTCCAAATGAGATATTTTTTTTTACAATTTTTCTCCAGAGTTAACGTCAGATGCGTTTTTTTAAATTAATGAGTATGATATTATGCGAATAGGTGCTACAGTGCGATGTTACTTTTCTACTACGTTGTAAGGAAATACAAACGAGTTAAAATACGAAAAGTAAATTCATGAAATAAGCAAAGAATGATCGTATTCAAGATAGTAAATTTTCACTTTTAGCGACGTTTTGTTAATACATAGTCATCATTAGTCATAATCCATTAACAGCGTTACCATTATTTACTATACGTTTATCACGTAAAAGAATGCATCTCTCAGTGGCGTAGTTCTTTGTCTAAAGTACCATTTGTTCACGATATCACATATGTTAATTTTAACGGAACTAATTGTATTAATGGACCAATCAATGAGATTGTAATAAAATAAAAATAACCCACTCTGTCGTATTCATGTTTAATTAATTTGAAGTAATACTTTTAATGTCCACGTTCTTATGTAAACTAATTTACGATCTTTTGTTCTTCATGACCATTGCCAAGTTTTATTGACCATATTACGAATACATTATATAAAACGAAAATAAATTAAGTCGGTGGTTTTTCCAGATAAAATAAATTGTCTGAGTCATGCATCTTTTTGAACGTTCTCGCTTTTAACACTCTTTTATTTGTCCATCCAATTTGGTTTCTATTTTGCGTTTCCACGTGTCGAATTCTTTGTTTCGAAAAAAAAGCCAAGTATTTTTCTCAAAATTTTTATTTTTCTTACCTGAGGGGGTGGATCCATGAAATGAAACTGTAACAAATCTTGTACACCCAAAGATTTGAGAAGGAGTACGGTATTTGCCAAGTTGGTCCTCTGAATTTCGGGAACTGTAGTGACTAACAATTCTTCTTTATACTGTCTTTCAGTATACAATCTAAAAGCCTGTCCTGGACCTGTACGTCCAGCTCTGCCCGATCGTTGGTTTGCGTTGGCTTGACTTATAGGATAAATCTAAAATAATATTAACAAATTATTTGTAACATAAAAAAAATGTTTTAACTAAATACGATAAGTTAGTTAGGTTCCGAACTTATCAATACCTCCTCGTAAACGGATTCGATCTTAATTATAATACAGTAGTTTTGATTATCAAATAATGATACGAAGAATTCAACATAATTTTTTTCGACCGACTTTTTTTATTGTTGATGAAATCAACGAATTTATTATTACTTATTTACATCTAAAAATCGTTTGGCTCACGCCAACGCTTTTTTACAACTCCACGATAAAACGAAAAAACTATGAAAACTTATGACTATTGTTGTATAAGTAGTTTCTATGTATAGAAACACAGTTTTACTATTTTTTACAGTTGTTGAACAATATTGTTGTGAAATGATACAAAAATTGCCAATACGGAAGTACGAATCAATCGAGAATTCTGTTTACAAAGAATCTCATGGCATAGAAAAAAATCGGTTTTCACATTCCAGTTCAACACAAAATATATGTAACATTTGTTGTTTATAAAACTTCGTTTCCATTCACTTTACCATTTTTAATATAAAACCTTTTAAGCTGTTATTAAGCTATTAATATAAACAAGAATCTGCAAACTGACAGCTGACTTCTTTCATAGAGCGTGAAAGTCAGAGGTTGTCTCGGAATGCTGCCTGCTATCAAGGAATTTGTAGGTATATGTGACGTCACTTGGTAGCCGAATCCACGAAGTTGAAAAAAAAGCGTACATAATTAATTATTAATAATTTTCGAATCTGAAATCTGCAGAAAATTGACGATACGTCAACACGTGTTATTTTTGTTTTAACTGTTTATGGTTCATAAAAAGCACGTGTCAGGAAATTCACTTATTCAAAATTCACTCTTTTTTTATCGAATTATATACAGTTTCTGGATGGTTTTACTTAAGTATAAGTTAAGTATATTAATAGTTCACTGAGGGCATTTAAATCAATCATTTGAAATTGAAAATTAGCTGTTAAATTCATACCCAAGTTGGCTCCAAAAAGGGGGGTTTGGTTCAGGTCTAATTATTTTCTTACGGCTTGAATTTGACCATTTATTTTGATTGTTTTGAACATCAGTTAACCGCATATAAACTCTTCGTTGTTTAAAATTTTTATAAAGTGTGGCGTAATCAACTTAAGTAAGTAATTTTAATATTCATTCAGTTATATAGCTTGGTTTAATAGCTGGCTAGTTTGGGAAGACCGGGTAACAAGTATAATATGCGGCAAGTTTTTGGTTTTCTCGATTACATTAATTCGTAACATTTGATTTCATTGCTGAAGGTTATAGAGTGTTTTTCAATTGGAGAATAAGTCCTACTTAGCAGTTGGGAGTGTTTTTTGTCTCTCCAGAATGGAGGAACAAACATTTTTTGTGCTCCACATTGTCTGTTTTTCGCGACTTTCTTTGTTATTTTGGCGAGATGTTCGGGCTAACACACAACATAAAGTAACTTGCTTCACTTTTTGTTTTAATATACAGGGTGTTTACTAAACTTGCGGCAAAAATTCAAGAGGTTATGCCTTAGTTTGTTTAAAGATTTTTTTGTACTTCGATGATTTTCGGAAAAATTTTTCATCTACCAAAACTACTGAAAATAACTACCACCAGTTGGGAGGCTGCATCCACTTTTTCACTGACTGCCGAACTTTTTTAAAAATATTAAGGTTGTTTGTTATTGTATTAAACCCTTCAATTAATTTAATTTCTTAGATCTTATTCATTTTTCACTGGAGTAATATACATTAATGTTTTCAAATGGTTCCATAAATAAAAATTTGAAGTTTATACTTTTAGTATCCCGTATTTTCGAAAAAAAGTGTCTCCTAAAATGAAAGTCAAAATAATCCAAGGAATTACTTTCAGAATTTTTACCCCAAGTTTAGTAAACATCTTGTACGGTTTTTTTATAGAAGTTATTTTTACGTTTTGGAATTATATTCTGTTAATATAGATTTTTTTTATGTATACAAATATCCTATTATTTATTAAATAAAGAAAAGATAAAAAACATGTGATCACTGTATCCAATTCTAGTGACCATTGAGCCCCACGTTGGGATACAGTGAAGATAGTTTTAATTATGTTTTTGTAAACATTAATAAAAACTATATTTAACATCTTCATATTATACAGTTTTCATAAAAACATTCGCAAACGTATAGATTACACAGATCGTTGTTCGTTTAGGCCGATAATTATTATACAAAATACTGTTTAAAAAACTGTCCATTATGCCCCGGTCTCCCCTATTGTTTTCTCAAACGTCTAGGAAAATAGAGTTAGCCGTTATAGATTTTGAGTCAGCCTGTATAAATATTGTTATACAATTTTGACATGATTTCACAAAAAACTAAATGTTTAGAGTAAAAAATCAAGGTAGATTCATACACCACAAGTATAGGTATAAGTATGTTATTTTATAAAATTTTAGTAGCATTTACTACGCAAAACTTTCAGATGGCAATCACAGAAATTTTGTTTAACGTTTCACCATCTACACGATATTCCTAAAATATGTACAGGGTGTTTTTGAAAGGTACGTACAAAAAATTGACAGTTTTTCGCGAAATCTAAGAAGTCTGAAAAACTTATTTTGTGTTATCAAAATTATAAGGGGAAAATTAACCCTTATTCAACCTTTTTAGACGCTACTGAAGGATAAATAGGTAAAATTAATTTATTTTAGTGAATCCTAGCAAATGTAACAATAAAACTTTTGTCAAGACTAAATGTGGCTATAGCATCTTTTTATCAGAGGCGTACAACGAATTTGGACATAAATTTTAATAATACGTATCTCTAAAAGGAGAACACTTTTACCAGAACTTTTTTTAACTTTTAGCACCCATACTTCGAGACTAATTGCCGATTTTATTTTGTACGTACTTTTCAATAACACGCTGTATACAATTTCACAACAATTAGTCGTAGTTTCGGACATTATCTGCATAATAAAATAATAGTACTCGCTAAGATAAAACTGATTTTGGCAAATGACATACCCTCTAAGAAAAGAAAGGGTGGGTGGGCGGGGCTAGTACCTGCTAAAATAAGACCGAAACTGACCAAAGATGTTGACACTTTTTTAAATTTTCTGTAAATTAATACGAAATCAGTAAAAATTGATTTTTGATAAAAAAATATCGGTCTAAAGAATTTATGCAGTACTTCCCTCACACCCAGAGCGGTGACCTGATGCTTATCAGGTAATAGCGGGTCAGGTCAGGTTCAGTCAGGCCAGATATTTTGGTGATAATTTTTATCAAAATTAATCAATGAAGTTAACTGATTCATTTTTTTTTAAACAACATAAAAATAAATCTATGTTTAAATTAATTAAAAAAGATAAGATTCGACCAACTTAGATGTGCTCCAAAGTTTAAAATGCGAGCGCAGCGAGCACGTTCAAGTATATATTACAAATTTATTTATGATATCTCTATATATATTAAGAACCAGTTTTTGTTCGTTAAAAATATGAGTTTAAAGATTGTAATCACTAATGTTTATGGGGCTGAAATAACCCGAACTTGCTCGCTACGCTCGCCTTTAATTTACCTTCATAGGGAGACCTCAAGAATTATTATAATAAAAACTAAGTAGTCTAGTTGACCGTCGTTTATTCGTAAATGCTTTTATGACACTAAATTAACTAAAAAAGAACATTCCAAATGCGAGCGCAGCGAGCACATTCAGGTGTTATTCAGAATTATTCGTTGTGTCCCTGGGAAACTAAATTATTATTATTGAGAGAATTTTTTAGAGTCTAAAGAAAGTGAATCTTGAAATGAAAATTTAGAGAGATCGCGGCAACCTGAACATGCTTGCTGCGCTCGCATTCTAAAGATTTATTTTTTGAAAATAATAAGTTTAGACATTTGTTAGTATTACAAAACCTAGATAGCTTTGCTGAGATTCTATGTAATCACTTTTACAAAACTAAACTGCAAAAAAAGAACGCTTAGAATGCGAGCGCAGCGAGCGTGTTCGGATATTATTAAAAAAAAATCACAGTTGTCCCTGAGAAGCTATATTATTATTAACAAGAAAATGTATTTACCGACTACAACTGTTTGTGTGTTTAAGACACTTTCCTGAGAATCTAAAACTAAACTTCAAAAAAAGAATACATACTTAGAATGCGAGCGAAGCGAGCACGTTCAGATTTTATTTAAAAAAATGGTCTAGGGATACATAATTTTCAGAAAAATGGAGTGAGCCGTACTTGATTTGGTCAATAAAATAGAGTGGATTACTCAATATTTTTTTTTAGTTACCCTGTCTAAGGAATTACATGGTGTCCTCGATATTTCGTTAAATATTACAAGACCAACGTTGCATGCTTCTTCAAAGACTATACTTTAAAATTATTTTTAACTCTACATAGCATTCTGCTTTTAAGGCTTCTTCAGGTTTTTGATTTTTCCATTTTCCAATTTTTTGAATTTTCAATTTCCCGATTTTTCGTATTCTAGGTGGTCATGAGACGTCGAGAAAACATGAAAGTATCAGTTTGCCAGATGGATCCCATTACAATACTTTTTTAACACAACTAACAATAAATAAAAAGAATAAATAATTATAGGGAGGTGTTAAAATATAACCATCACTTTTGAAGATTTCTTATTAAACATTCGAAACTAGAATAACAAGTGGATGGGGAAAAACATCAACACTGCCCAAATATAATCAAGAGGTAGTTAAAATTCAAAACATTAAAAGTTGAAACATCTATTGCAATAATTATTTCTCTAGTTTACGCTTGGGGAGTATTCTTTGAAACTCTGGTAACAATACTGATTTAACGATTACAGAATATTTAAAATTCATTTTAACTTCCCCACAGAAAGTTAGGGAAGTATTTCAACAGGGTTCACCCGACGAATGACTACTTTCCTGTTTTCTCGGCGTTTCATGATCTCTAGAGTATGAAAAAGTACGTTTGTGTAGGCTTCTACATTTGTCTAACCATCTCCACCAAGAATTCGATGACGTGACTTTAAAATTTTGCGTAGTAAATGTTACTTAAATTTTATAAAATAACATACTCCTATACTTGTGATTTATGAATCCGCCTTAAGTTTTTACATTAGCATCCAGATTTGACAAAAAAAGTGTATAATGTTTTATAGTAATATAAGCGCGCTATTCTTCTGACTGACTAGTTTTTTCGTCTTCCAATAACTGACGTTGTATATATTTTTTTTGCTCAAAATTGGTTTTATTATTCGATTGTTCTGCGAGCAAGGTCATTCTGTCCTTTTTGAATGTGAAGTCTTGATTTCGATCTCCGGTATCTCCAGTTTTTTTCTCTCTCTATTAGAGACTTTGGTAAGAATATTTTGTTAAAGTTTTATTAATGCTTATCAAAAATTACTAATAATAAAAATAGGTTCCAACGATCATCGGTTTTGCTTCACAATCGAGGGAAGTTCTGATTACGTATCTTTAAACAAACTTTTTTAACTCTTTTGGGGCCATTTACCCCAAACCTGAAATATATTTTTATTTTCCAATAAATACATATCACTAGGAGAGTTGAACGGCTACCACATGACGTCACATTCACATGACCATAATGCATAGTCAATGTCATTATATGAGACTTTCAACGAAATACGATAAAAGTCAAGTACCTACAGATAAAAAAAAAAACAAAAGCTTCAAAAACCTTAAGCAAGGATTGATCATTTGCCACGACCTGAACTATCAATCATCTTTTATCAAACTAAACAAACAAATTTACTAAAAAAAACTAAAACTTTATCCGTACCTGTAGAGCATCCATACCAATCCTCGGATTATACACCTTCAACTTGCAATACCCGGAATCAATAACAAATATAATCCCATCCACCGTCAACGACGTTTCGGCTATGTTCGTCGCCACCACGCACTTCCTTATCCCTTCGGGCGACCTCTGGAAAATCTTAGCTTGCAAGTCCGACGGCAACTGCGAATAAATCGGAAGAATCGACAGCTCGGGGGCGTTCTCGATCTCGGACAGCCGTTCGGCCAAAACCTGCAAAGATCTTTTCCCTCAAAGAGTGCAGTTTTATAAGGGGCAGGCGGTGACGGCTTACCTCGCAGGTCACCTCGATGTCTTCTTGGCCCGGCATGAAGATGAGGACGTCGCCGGAGGGCGGCTGGAGGTGGATTTGCAGGGCTTGCTTGACGGCGGCGTCGACGTAGTCCTCGACCGGGTTCTTGCTGAAGAGGATTTCGACGGGGAAGGTGCGTCCGGGGATGGTGAAGGTGGGGACGTTGCCGAAGAACATGGAGAATTTGCTGGAGTCCATGGTGGCGGAGGTGACGATTAGTTTTAGGTCGTGTCGTCTGGCGACGATCTGGAACATAGTGACGAAAAATAAAGTGTGTGTATCGAGGTGGGGGTTTAATAAAAAGGGTGAACCAAAATTTACTTAAAAAAAATATGCAAAAAAGTAAATCGACAAATTCTGATGGGGATATGCTGAAGCATTGGTGTAGGTTTTGGCGGTAAATAATTCATTTTTAGTACAGACGTTAAAAATTTATGTTTATAGTGTTGCGATATATTAGTTTTTTTTTGGCAGAAATATCGGGGATTTTAATAAAAGTTAATCATAAAAGTCTGTTACTGAAAGCATATGAAAATATTACTTTATACGAGGTTGGCTAAAACAATTAGTCACTTTATTACGTAATAATCAGTTCTGAAAATACTGTTTTTTCGCAGAAAACATTATAAATACCGTAATTTTATGTATTACATAGCGACATTTAATTCCAAATTGACAAGATTTAAGCCAAACACATTTATTTTGTTGAGTGTATTGTTGACGAATGTTAAAATCTTGTAGTTTATGAAACGTTTTATAAATTTCTAATAAAACTTTGGGTGATGGCTGAAGAATACATTTCAAAAAATCTAGATTGGACATTCAAAATCAAATAGGCTGTGCAAATAACAATCTGTCAAATGTGACAATCACTAAGATTGCAATTCATAAAAGTTAAAAAAGTTAAAAAGGGCGACGGAAGTTCACTGAAAATAATACATGCTGTTTAAAAGCTCTAGAATTATATTAAATGTAGCTTTACTACAGAATTATTGTACAAAATAATTTAAGAAATTTCCAGAGTTACTTATGCTGAACTTTCGTCATCTCCTAAGCACAACAAATACCGTATGTCCATGGATTTTCGTTATCTTTAGCATTTTTTTTTTTAATTTTGGTCATCTTGTGTGGTCTCATGAATGTAGGTTTCACTTGTTAAGGTGGGTTTCTTATTGTGTTCGGTTTATTGCTAAAGTTGAATATTTCCAGAAAAACACACCAATAAAACGTCGCAGTAGACATAAACATGTCCGGACGGGTCCACCCACGAATTCAGAGGGAGGAAACTGTACTGATTGAAACATTGGCGATGTTCGTCATTGTGTTTTATGAATCTTTCGTAGTTTCTGAGTGTTTTTGTAGTCTATTGAAATCAACGTTTTTCAGAACTACAAAGTCTTTCGCCTTCTGTGTAGAGGGTTAAGTAATAAATAAATTTAGAATGTTCCTATTAAAAAAAATATTATAGGCCACTACTAGAAGTCTAAGTGACAAATTGCGATGACTCAATGTTCTTCTCATAGTATTTCAGCTCTACGGAACACAAGTGTTTCGGCTAGCTTAAATTAGTTTTTTCTTATACATCTAACCCTCCAATTATGTTTACGACCGTGCCTCCGGTCCAGCCAGACGTTCGGGATCACCACGTCTGTGACCCTCACACGTGTGTGGGAAAAGGGGATGAAAGTGCCAAAGGAACCACCAGCGGCATTTAGTAGCCTTTCGATCTTCAAATCGATCAGTTCGATCAAACACCCCTGCGTGTCCTTTCGTGTCGCAATTGACTTTCTTCGTACTCGTTATCGCTTAGTGCCTATACGGTACTCATTTCGTCGCCTGTCGCTACTCATCCCCTTCTTCGTTACATCGCTCACAGTCGCATCACCAGGTAAGTCGTAACTTATTGGAGGCAATTAATTTTGTTATTTAATAAATTTTCGCGAACAACAAGAAATACTGTTATCTACTTTTTTCTAATCAAAAAATAAATATACGCTCTCGTTTTCACATTTATTTGTAGATTTATTGGCAACTTTTTCCAAATTTTAAATTTTCAATACTCCCTCTTGAAAGTTGCGATCTTTTCTCGAACACCTTTGAAAATTACTCACGGACATTTTTTACAGATTTCAGCCTCCAGAAGCTACTTTTGACCTGACTTCTTCGCAAACTTCTAAAATTTTCCAGATTCGTTTATGAAATATAGCAATTTTGCACAAAAAAATGACTTTCAAAGCAGTGGCGGCTCGTGAAGTTTTCTTCAGAGGAGGCTCAAATTTGAAAACCAATACTTTTTATATCCTTCATTATCTGAATAATTTTTTTGTCATGCTCACGAAAAGAACACTATAGATAAACTATTGCATCGATTAGTCTTTTCAAAATTGCCCTATTTTCACCAACTTTCTCGTTATAGTTCTCAATATCCCTCTTATGAGCGGAATCTAAAGTAGTAGAAGAAAATATGTGTTCCTGTGATTTTTCATGCCTTTACACTGCACATGAGACTGACTTATTTTCGTTGCTCATTCTCGTTAAGTAGGTATAAGTAATATTAATATGCCGATAATACCAGCTGTTTTTAACGATCAGAAATAAAACGCAAATAAATGATATAAAAAACACCTTAGGCTTTACGTAGGTACTAAAGCCTAAACACCATTCACCACTGAATAGGGAGCACGCGAAACCACCTCAATGTTTTTCCAATTTACACTCGATCGCGCGAGTTAATAAGAAAGAGATAAAATAATCCGTGCGACTTGATCTGAAAAGAGATGCACTAGCCGGAGGCTAGCGGCCTGAAGCGGCACCCCGATGAACATTTTAGCCAATGCAGTGCTGAACGACTATGCGTCAAAGTTGCGGTCTCAATAGTAAGATGCATTCTCAGCGGAGGCTAGCTTCTACGGCTGAAGCCAAACGCGGAGTGGTGTGAATTATGATTTAAGGGCGCAAATATAATTTTTTTCGATATTTTAACCTGATATATGATGAAAGTAAATTAAATCAAACAAAATATTCTGAATAGTAACAAATGTCTATAAAAATACAAATTCTTTCATCGAAAAAATTAGAGGAAGCTCAGCTCCAAAAAACAGAGGAGGCTCAGCCTCCCCTGCCTCCTCTGAGGAGCCGCCACTGTTTCAAAGTTAATATTTCTAAAATATTACTAGTGGACCATATTTCTCAGATCAACACAAGATCTATATCCTGAAATTTTTTCGGAATTTTAGGGCAACTTTTCAATACTCCCTACTTATCAAAATTTTCACCTTTTTTCGACCACCTTTGAAAATTACCTAATGAGATTTCTTTGTACATTTCGACCTCCAGAAATTATTTTCGGCCTCATTCCTCAGAAAGCTCCTAGATTTTTCCAGAATCGCCCAATAAAATATGGCAATTTTTAGGATTGAAAAAAAAAATTTCAAATCGAATATTTCTAAAATTTTGGCCCAGGGCCATATATTTATGAAAATATTTGAAAATTTCAGCTTTTTAGAAGCATTTTATAAAAAAAATATTTTCAAACTGTATATTTTTTAAATCTTGTTCTGGAACCTTAAACGCGGTATATTTTCCTATTTTTCAAAACAGTAGGCTAAGATCTAAATCCCAGAATGTTTTGTGGGATGTTTAGTTTATTTTTTCAAGACTTTATTTTATCACCTTCGAAAATTATCTTACGAAATTTATTTTCACCCTGATTTCCTCGAAAACTCCTAAAATTTTCCAAATTAACCTAATGAAATACGATAAAATTTAATATACCAATAAAAAAGTGATTTTCAAAGTCAATATTTCTAAAATCTTACTAGGAGACCATATTTCTCGGATCAACACAAGATCTATATTGTGCAATTTTTTCGGAATTTTAAGTCAACTTTTTTAAAAGTTCAACTTTTCAATACTCCCTACTTAACTAAAATTTTGAGCTTTTTCGACCACCTTTGAAAATATACTTATGAAAAATTTTATCTACTGAATTTTTCAAATCAGTACGTTGAACAACTTTTTGTGAATTTTTCGACAACTTCGTCAAAAGCTCTGAAAATTTCGATCTTTTGTCAATCACCTTATAAAATTACCTAATGAGATTTCTTTGTACATTTCAACCTCCGGAAATTATTTTCGGCCCCATTTCGCCGAAAACTCTTACAATTTTCCAGGATCGCCGAATAAAATATAGCAATTTTTAGGTTGAAAAAAAAAATTGATTTTCAAATCGAATATTTATAAAATTATGCCCCGGGGCCAAACACTTATGAAAACATTTGAAAAATTCAGATTATTAGCTGAATTTTTCAAATCAGTACGTTGAGGAATTTTTTGTAAATTTTTCGACAACTTGTTCAAAAGCTATGAAAATTTCGATCTTTTTTCGATCACCATTCAAAATTACCTACAGAAATTTTTTTTCAATGGATTTCGACCTCCAGAAGTTATTGTCGGCTTGATTTCTTAGGAGACTCCTACCATTTTTCCAGAATGGCCCAATGAAATTGACAATTTTTTGTATTAAAAAAAAAAAAATTCAAACCGAGTATTTATTAAATGGTGTTCTGGGGCATTAAACACGCTATATTTTCTTAGTTTTCAAAACACTAGGTTCAGATCTACATCCCAGAATTTTTTGTGGATTTTTAGATTATTTTTTCAAAAGCTCTATTTTCCAAAGCTCACGAAAATTTCGACCTTATTTTGTCACCTTCGAAAATTATCTTAAGAGATTTTTAGTCGATTTCGACCTCCAGAAGTTATTTTCGACGTGACTTCTTCGAAAACTCCAAACATTTTCCAAATTAGCCTAATGAAATATGGTAAAATTTAACAAAAGACTGATTTTCAAAGTTGATATTTCTAAAATCTTACAACAGGCCCATATTTGTCGGATCAACATAAGATCTATATCCTGGAATTTTTTCAGGATTTTAAGGCAACTTTTTTAAAAGTTCAATTTTTCAATAGTCCCTCCTTGTCAAAATTTTGCTGTTTTTTCGACCACCTTTAGAAATTACCCAATGACATTTTTTTGTAGATTCTGACTTCCAAAAATTATTTTTGGATTCATTTCTTAGAAAATTCCTATCATTTTTCCAAAATCGCCCAATGAAATTGGAAAAATTTAGAATTAACCGCGTATTTTTATTAAATCTTGCTCTGGAACTTTAAACACGCTATATTTTTCTGTTTTTCGAAGCAGTAGGACAAGATTCCAGAATTTTTTGTGGATTTTTAGACTATTTTTTCAAAAGCTTTATTTTCCAATGCTCCACACTTACGAAAATTTCGACCTTATTTTACTAATTTCGAAAATTATCTTAAGACATTTTTTAGCAGATTTCGACCTCCAAAAGTAATTTTCGACCTGGCTTCTTCCAAAACTCCTAAAATTTTCCAAATTATCCTAATGAAATACGGTAAAATTCCAACAAAAAATTGACTTTCAAAGTCAATATTTCTAAAATCTTACAACAGGACCATATTTTTCGAATCAACACAAGATCTATAGTTTGGAATTTTTTCAAGATTTAAAGGTAACTTTTTTACAAGTTCAATTATTCAATAGTCTCTCCTTATCAAAATTTTGACCTTTTTTCGGCCACCTTTAGAAATTACCTATTGGAATTTTTTTGTTGATTTTGACCTCCAGAAATTATTTTCGGATTCATTTCTTAGAAAATTATCATTTTCCCAGAATCGCCCATCGAAATTGCAAATGTTTAGTATTTTTTTTTTTAATTGACTTTCAAACCGCGTATTTTTTAAATCTTAAACACGCTATATTTTTCTATTTTTCCAAACAGTAGGTTAAGATCACAGGATTTTTTGTGTATTTTTAGGCTATTTTTTCAAAAACTTTATTCTCCAATGCTCCACGCTTACGAAAAATTTCGAGTTTATTTTACCAATTTCGAAAATTATCTTAAGATTTTTTGGTAGATTTGGACTTCCAGAAGTTATTTTTGGGCACATTTCTACGAAAACTTCTGCCGTTTTCCAGAATAGCGTAATGAAATTGGCATTTTTAATATATATTTTTTTTATTGACTTTCAAACCGGGTATTTTTAGAATTTTGCTCTGCGACCTTTAACACGCTATACTTTTCTGTTTTTTTTTTATTTTTTTGGGGAACTTTTAGACAACTTTTTCAAAACTTCAATTTTCCAGTGCAAATTTCGGCCTTTTTTGGACTACTTACTTCAAAAATTATCTAAAGAAATGATCGATTATAGATTTCGACTTCCGAAAGTTATAGTCGGCCTCATTTTGTTAAAACGTTCTATGATTTTTCAAGAATTACCCAATGAAATAAGGCAGTTTTAGGACTCTCGAAAAAAGAAAAAAAACTAGTTTTTAAAAAAGCTCAATTTTTCATTACCCTTGTGAAAATTTCGGCCTTTTCTCGACCAACTTCGAAAACGGCTATTTTAAAGAGATTTTTTTGTAGATTTAAACCTCCAGAAGTTATACTTTCGATCTCAATTCTTCGAGAGCTACTACCATTTACCAGAAGCACCTAACGAAAAATGATATTTAAAATATACCATCAAACCGAATACCTATTTTTAAAACATTGCCCCGAAACCTTAAACACGCTAATTTCAATTTATTCCTCCGAAAAAGTTGATAATGTCAACACAATTTTTCTTAAGAAAACCTCAAATAGTCCAGACGAATTTTTCCATGTTTTAAGTTCAGGTGTGGCAAGAAAAACAGACAGATTCTAGAAGAATAACGTCTTAAAAGGTGATTAAGTTTCGAGTAATCCTTGTTAAAAAAGTTGAACTTTCATGTTTTTTGATGAGATAATGCACGGAAAATTGCAAATTTGGATAAAATGGTATAATTCTGACTCGAAAAAATACATTCCACTAATAGGAAAAAGTAAAGTTCTAAAGGGACACATAAGTACTAATTAGTGATTAAATAACAGCTGCATAAGAACTCAAAGCTCAATAAAATTGATCTAATAGCTTTTTTTGAATTTCTCGCTATAATTAAAATATTCATACATAAAGCCTTGAAAGCAACATTTTTCAAAATTAAAATTTACAGAAAATTTCTTCGCCTACTGCATAACTTGAGTGCAACCGACTGCTCCATTAGTTTCACGTTTAGAATTACCTGAGCTAAAACACTCAATTAAGCCTTTAATCGTCCCAAACTTAATAAAAAAAAAACTAACTTCGGCCCAATCTTTCGCTCGATATACATAGTACACTCCAAATATTTGTCATTCCATCTCCATTTTAATGATTTGCTTGGCATTTAGTTCCGTTATTATAGTAAATAAATTCACTCACACTTTACAAGCTTAAGGTCGTCCGAAACGGGTTTTAACTGTGTAAAAATAGAAGCCAAATTTTTGGGCCCCCTTCTGAAGTCAATTTCTTGATTACGTATTGTTTTAGGCTGCACTCAAAATGAAAAAAATATCAACTATTACGGCCTCGGTCAGTGTACCAGCAAACAGTGCACTACAGGTTTTTCCTGCTCGTCCAACAAACAAAATTAATATTTAATCGACGCAGCAATTATGTATTGCGTTTTTGTTAAACGCAGAAAACACAGATGTTTATGAATTTTCTATAATAAGACTAGGCTGTAAACATTATGTTGCGGTTAACCAAAACTAAAACAACTAATCTGTCAAGAATTACACCTGCGAATTCCTGCTTCATATGATATGTAAATTAACATGCGCAATAATGTGTTTTTTATAAAAAGCGGTCGATTCGTAATCCCGCTCAAATATTTTTTGTTGAGAGAGCCGTTTTTTTTTAATGCGTTCAATTTTACTGAACGATAGTAATCGATCTAATCTAGATAATTAAAAGCAAAAACAACCTTGCAACAAGGAAAGAAAAACTGAAACAGTATAATGTACAGATTAAACTTCGAAGTGCCTTCCGTTAGATAAAAAATCTATTTATATGTAATGTACATATATAAAACCGTATGTATCTTGTCCTATTTTTCCACAATAATCTTATCACCATATTTTTCCAAACGACAAACTACGACAGAGTAATTTCTTAATTTTAAAATTCATCGCAATACCAACTATAGGAAAATCACTAACATATTGATAGTTAAAATTACGCTACAAATAACGCAAAATATTCTAATCAATAGAGTAAAACCGGTTCCCCCTGCCGCTTTTCTGCCGCTGTCCCCCAATTTCGGTAAAGATAATTTTCTGCTGTGCAAATAATCCAAGGCTGCATTATCTCTCGTAAATCCCATAAGTCAATAATATCGCAAAAACAAAAACAAATTACTATCAAATAAAAATAAATTCGCTGGTGCCCTCTATAGGCGTTGGCTTGTTCCACAGATAAGTAAAAACCGCGCACTTTCATTGTTTACGAGCATTCTCGAAGAAAGTCCTTCGCTGTTTGGTACGTTTTAGTTATTCGAAACCGAGTTTGCACAGTTGACGTTTTTTCAATTAAAAATTCCACAAATGGAGTATGCTTACGTTGAGGGTAAGTGTGGGTCAGAGTTGCTTGCTTTGTCTTTTTGATACGAAAAATTCGTTTTTGTAATTAAACTTTGATAGTTGCTGAAGTCAATAAACCCATCAGTTATTTTACAAATTTAAATTATCGCACTTGACGGGTCTCAAAAAAATCGCACAATTAAAAATATCGACTAATTTGCGCACTTTGTATACGAGCTTAAAATTATTCGTTTTTCGCTTAAAGTGGTTATGGTGCGGATATCCTGCACGCCCCGCCTACGCCTCGCTACGAAAATAGTTTAACTCGTTTATTACCATAGAAAAAAGTCACGTTTTGGACTTTTTATCATGTATTATCATTTTTGACTTATATAAGCCCGGTAATCCGTTTTTACGTTGATAAATCGACATTGTAAATTTTGTTATTTTTATTTTGACAGACCATCGGAAAATTACTAGGCGCGCACATTGTTATGTCATGTGGCTTTTCGTCTCGCTTAATACACCACCAACATTAGAAAAATTTGTTTACTGCAAATTTAACTGATACCATTGTATGCACTTTTAAAGACGAGCCCCTTTCATTGTCAAGATAATTCAAGTTTTAATGCAATCTTATCGTCAAATTGTAAAAACATGTTAGGCGCCTTATAGCTAAATGCAAACAATAAATTCTAGTGATTTGTGGCATGTATGGCGTATCAAATTGTATTAGTCAATTTCGGAAATTCCAACTTCTACTCTGGCATTTTTTTTATATATAAAATATTTTACTCCTACATTCGTTGGTTTCTTTCTGTTCTGATTCACCAAGAAATTCCTATCCAACACAAAAACACATCTTGCGGTTCAAAACAAAGTATGTTTATTTAAAAATACTGCTATCACTTTAAATTTCATTCGGATATATTGATCTATTTATTGTTGATAACATTTTTATTACAGTGTAAAGATACAAGTACCAAAAATAGACTTAAATCGATATTTGATTGTTGTCCACAATGTAATCAGCTAACGATGTTCTTAAAAAAATACAAATTAAAAAAGATGACTTACGTAATGGCTTATCAAATATTATTAAACGTTTAAACAAAGTTGTAAAGTACGATTTTTTTTTCCCAAAGGTTTTGTTTAATTTTTTGATGCTGAGCAAACAAGCTGTAAACTCATCCACAATCCTGATAATAACAAATTTAATGGGATTCTGGGTCATGATTGTATGATTTTATGTTCTAAGAATAGTTTGAAAATTTCTGTGACGTTAATCAAAACTAAATCGGACCTGTTTTACGTTATAATGAGCTGGAAATGGAATAGTCGAGAGCGTTCTGGAGAAAAATTGAGAAGATCAAAAGAGTTCTCTTTAGTCAAAGAGAATTTTTCTTTTTCAACTTCACAATGAGATTAGAATTGGAGGAAGAAATTAGTTCACGTGATTTCAACAACGTTCTTCTTGGAAACGACAGGAGACACAAATAAAAAAAGGTCAAGTTGAAGAATGAAGATAATGATATTTAATGGAGATTCTAGACACTGTGGTAGAAAGGAACGTTATCGTGATAAAAATAGATCAGATCGAAGGACGAAATTGCAGAATGAAGATAATGACGATGTTCTGTAGACTTTTTGTTGGACAGGAACACTATCATGGTACAAAAGAGATAGCGTACAATAAGTAGGTTATCGGAAATGGACGGCAAACAGGACATCTCCAAATACTCGAACAATACAGAATTTCAAGCCGTTCTAAAAGATCCAACTAAGAACGAATAGAGATAAATTTATTTAGATTACCAGAAACTAGTTGACGAAGAATCGAAGAACTGTCATTTGACATAATTTTTCCGCAAACTGCAACACTAGACAAATATAAATGCAACAACACGAAAAAACAAATCTAATCCTATAAAGAACAAAGTAAGCAAGTACAAGGTCGAGATAAACAACAAGTAGGAGTCGAGGAAGTTCTGGTGACGGAAGACTCAAGAAAAAGAAGCGCCCTAGAAATGGTCTTAAGACTGAGTAAACAGTTCTATAACGTGTAACAATGAAGCAAAATTCACAAATCATAGTTAATTGATTGTGGAGTTTCGATCACTATGAATCAAGAACCCACGCCACCCATCAATCGCAACATTAAGATTACTATTATGTCACACGTCTAAAATTTAGCCCACGTAAAATTTGTATGCATTTTTTTTTCATTGAATCAAGAGTGGTTTGGCAAGAACATAGAAACAATTAATGTGACAAAATTGACTCTGAACTTTCAACCCAGACCATGATTTATTACTATTACGTTTTAATAAATTAGAAAATGCAATGACTCATAACACTTTATTAGGTAAAGTTTATTTTTTGACGATCGTATACATTTTTAACGTCTACGGTCTACACCTGCAGTAAATATCTAAATTATCTTTATCAAAACATAATAGACAAAGCATAGACGTTGGTAAGCACAAACAATGTGTCATATTCTTCGTACCATAACATTTTTTATTTGTTGTTATGAACTGATAAAGTTCATTTTCCCGATGGAATTATCTGTGGAAAACAAGTGTGGTTGTCTGAGGATTTGTTTAAATATTTAACCGAGTTCTTGACGCACGGTCGAATCATATGCAACCCATAATACTTCACTTTATCAAAACAAAAAATATATATATATATGAAGTGTTTTTAAAAGATAAATGAATCTTGAGAGATTGAGTCACACTGAGAAAAAGTATTCATGTTTTTTAAGTTGCTCTAGTTGGCCATGATGTTTATGTCAATAGTGCTGCTGACGTACGCGTCATGGCCAACTAGAGCAGAAATTTAAAACATCACATGGTAGAAAACAGGTAGCACAAATATGCGTTTTCACCTGCAAACAGATTTAATAGATTATATGTTATCTTGATCACATGATAACCTATGTGTAACATAATCATTCGGCGTGGATAAAAGATTAATTCAGGTGTTGTTTTTAGTAAATATTTTTGCACGCTGTCGTATAAAACAAATGTAAATTAATCAACAACTAAGTTTTTGAGGCGTTTACTAACAGACAAATTTTGTTTAGCGATACGTTTAAAATTTGACAACAATCGGTCTGGTAGTTTTGGAGATTATCTGCATAATAAAAATCGACAGAGGCAGGCGACAAACAGATGCGAGACCTACTTTTTCGTACTTTAGGGGTTGTGAAACGTCGAGAAAAATTACTACACTTCCTCAGCTTATGCTCGGGAAGTAAAAACTCACATTAAGATTATTTTAAACATATGTGTTGCAATATTTTATGGATAGATAAACAACGATGCAATTTATTGTATTATCGATAAAGTTGAATTGTAGTGTACAGAGTGTTTATTAAAACAATCTTAAAAAATATTATTTAAATGCTAAACAAAATTAAATATGTTCATGTCAGTAGTTGGGAAGTTCTGACAGGAATTCGTTGACTTCAGAAACTTTAGAGAAAAAAAAATGGTGATAACAGAAGTCTCCACGTATATCGTATTTTTTTACAATAATAGTATTACAAATATTTAGGTGTGAGTTTTCTAATTTTTATGTAAATTCATTCCCTTCTTTCCAAAATTTGCATGGTGTTTTTTTTTTAATTTCACTCTACAAAATTCGCAACATGATTTTCACGATTCACAAACACTAATTGCAGATACTGTTTAATTATACAGAGTGAGTCAACTAAAATAAGACATTTCGAATATTTTTTTATGAGCCTATGTTAATAGAATTTAGTTTATAAATAAAGAAGAATCACTTCATTAATATGAAAAATTGAACAGAAACACAATCATCAAACACAATGGCATAATATATTTGTGGTTTATGAAACTGCCTTGATTTGATACTCCTGGCATCCAAATTTTCGTAAAAAAAAGCAAAATTCTTAAACATTTTATAATCATATTAGAGGGATATTGGACAACCTTCCATTCGCTTAGTTGGCCCGAGCGTCGCACTAATAACGCGAAGGTTACGAGTTCGATCCCCTCGTGGGATTCTTTTTTTTTCTTACACTGTGACTACATTTTGCCTTTTTTTTTAATATGTGTGGACTTATTTCGACAACAAGAAACTTAAAACATGTTTAAAATGGTAAATTTGTATAGGGAAATATCGATTTTGCAATTACGCTCCGCCCCTCGGTCTGACAACGAATGAAAAATTCATCACGATTGAGATCGAGACAGATAGGATCTCTTTTGGTTTTGTTTTTGAATTAATACATTAATTTTTCTTTGTATAACACGATTACTTAAGAACATATTTCACATGGTAGTTTTCCGTAGAAAAATAAGGATTTTACAATTAAGCTCCGGGCCTCAGCTTACGACGAATAAAAAAAATCGTCAGAATTAAGATAGGGCGGGTGGGCGGGGCTTATATTTTGCCTTTTTTTTTTCTTAATATACACAGCCATCTTTTCATAAGTTTCATATTGTGAAAAGAAGTCTACACATATTAAAACAAAAAAGCAAAATGTAAGCCCGCCCACCCGCCCTATCTCAATTCTGATGATTTTTTTATGCGCCGTTAACCTACACGGCGGAGCTTAACGGCAAAATACTAATTTCCCTACAAGAAATTAAAAACATGTTTTCGAGTATCGTGTTGTTCAAAGAATATTATGTATATTAAGAGAAAAAGGCAAAATATTAACCCCGCCCACCCACCCCATCTCAATTGCGACGATTTTTTACTCTTAGAAACTTAAAACACGTTTAAAATTGTCAATTTTTGTAACGAAATGTGGATTTTACAATTAGGCTCCGCCCCTAGGTCGGCCGACGAATGAAAAGTTCATTACTATTTAGGTATGGGTGGGGGTGGGGCTTAACCTTTGGCTTTAATTTTTTCTTTCAATAACACGATACTCAAAAACATGTCTTACATTTCTTGCAGAGAAATAATAACCATTTTGCAATTAAATTCCGCTTCTTTGGCTCCCAACGATTAAAAGAAATCATCACAATTGACAGGGCGGGTGGGCGGGGCTTATATTTTGCCTTT